TTTCGAAGTCCATCAAATTTGATGTGGACGCTCGCAAGCGATCGAACCGGGCGGAGGTGGTTGACCTTCACTATGACCGGCTGCACAACCCAGAGAATTGTTTCCATATCGAGTTAAGCTGGATGAGCACGACCCCCAAGATGATCGAAGACACGGTACACAATTGGGCCTCAACTGCTGAGAAGTTTGGGTTAAAATTAGTCCAAGTGCCCATTGCTGAAGCATGCGCCATCGATCGAACCCAGCCATTTCGAAAGCCATACAAAATCACACTGAAGGTGCCTGCGCCAAAAGGCCCCGTCCATACAGTCTTCAACAATGCGTCGTTTGCACAGCCAGGGCCGCCAGACCCGCTCTACTACCAAAAGTGCATATTGCGCAAGTTTGACTTTGTGCTTGATTTCGAGGCTGCTTCCGCGTTCCCCGCTGATGTCGAGGTCTCATTTTCTTGGGGCAAGCCCGACTACAAATACCCCCAATTTATCCACCGAACAGGCAGCATCCTGGCCCAAATCACCGACGAAGGTGACTTTCTCCTCCTAGCAAACCGTCTAGTTAGCACTCGGGCCGCTGCAAGTCGCGACACAGCCCGGTACGAGCATCATAACCGCACAGACTATCGGGGCCGCCCTGCCGCAGCCCACGATCCACTGGACCGTACCTGCTCACCACGTCTCTCGCCAATGACCAGACCTCTCCACGATATTGGCAGCCCAATGCCGAACCCAGTCTCATCCAATATTGACTCTGCGAACCTCTACCGGGCCCCAGAGCACATCCTCAACGCCCTTCAAGAGTTCTGCAGCGATGTCATCCAGCTGGAGCAGTTCTACAAGGAATCGCACGTCCGTCCGGTCTCGACAAAGGTCGAGCCCGCAACCGCACATCATCTCATGGATACTTCTATCCCATCCTTGGAGTTACCTGCCAGCGTGGTTAGCCACCACATCTCTCCCCCACCTGGCCTGCCGTCTCGTGTTACGGAAGAACGCCGTGAATCGCACGACGGATTGCATTCGCCAGAAATGGTTCGTGCTCGTGCACGCGGTGAGAGTCTGAGCTATACTCGTAGTCCTCGCAGTGGGACCTTGCGACCTCTGATTTAGGATACCAGATTTGCAATGCCTTTCTGATGGGCTTCCTCTTGTTTGATTGTTCTTCTAATGCTTTGTACGAAATACCCCGTGCGCGATTATCTGTGTTATGTATACGATAGTTCTATCATGATGAAACAAATGTTCAAGTTCCAACTTTCTCTCCTTCCTTTTCCCCGCCGGCGTGCCTGTCACAAAAGAAGGTATCTGAGTCGCACAATCCCAAAAACTCACCTCGGCACATACCGGTAAAATTAGCTCAGCTACATTTTAGTCTTGAGTAATTATCACGAATCTATCCAGCAAACCCAACAAATCCAATCCGATCTATACTAAATCCCGATGAATACCCCCGGTAAGTAACTAAAAACGCCACAAGGAAGAGGGGGGGCATTTAGCCAAATCACCCTGCATTCAGCCGACACTCGCATTCGCAGCTTCTGGTTGGTGGACACCCCGGCTATACCTTTGCGATAAATACTGATAGGTACTGACATCGTGAGAAAAATGGATTCTCTGCCCCGCTTGTTCCACAGCGCATCTCGCATGCGTTGAGCGTTTCTTGGTGAGACCCACGATCTGATGATGTCGGACAGTCCTCCGTGTCAGATTGGGATGCTACGAGGGGGATTGAGGGGAGTTCAAAAACTTTGCGGATAACTATCTGCTTTATTTTTTTTTCTTCTTCTTTATCTTCGTCTTTGTCTTCTTCTTTTACTCGTATTTTCGGTACTTTTTTTTCAATTCGAGGCCGTGCGAGTTTTTAGTACTCGTTCTCGGAACAAGAGTCTCGGGGTAACCATGAAGTTCACAGAGGGAATGTGGTGCTTGCGGGTATGTCTCTTCTTTTTTTTCTCGCCGAACTTCACCAAAAATAAAAGATGAAGCGATCTTACTTTTCTGGGCCTCGTTATGCTAATTGTGGCGTGTTCAGGAGGGGGTTAACATCGAATGGATGAGCAATGTCGAAAGACTGCGTGTCCAGCAAGAAACGGTCGATCTATTACTGAACAAGCTTCAGAGACACCGCGGTGATACTCTGAATTCACGTATGTATTTCCATTTTCTCGCTGATCAGTTAGGCTTAGCTAATGGGTTGATCTAGCGACCATCTCAGCAAAGGTGACTTCGCCTTTAGACGGAATTATTGGCGTGAAACTTGTTCATTGGTAAGTACCGACTATCTCCATTTCGCAGGAAGAAAATAAAGAAGAGGCTAACTTCTTCCAGGGCTGGGAATGTCGACAATGGCCCTCACTACGCCATCAACCAAGAAACCGGACACACCACTATCACCCAGAATCAAGATACCAAGAAACTCACCTACGCCAGCGGACCACTCTCCCTGGACATAAATTCCAACCCCAACGAACTGGACTTTGTCTTCCGCGGCGAATCTGCCAAAAAGCTCACAGGTCACTCGTTCCGATCCATCGGGTACATCCGTGACACGCGCAGCGCCAAATACGACACTGCAGATGGCATCTACGCCGAGAAGCAAGGGTACATGCTAGCCGAACTCGATCTCGGCGTCGGAGAGAAAGTCTATGGTCTCGGCGAGCGATTTGGACCTCTTGTGAAAAACGGGCAGACGGTCGATATCTGGAATGAGGATGGAGGTACGAGCTCCGAGCTTGCGTATAAGAATATCCCTTTCTACATCTCGTCCAAGGGGTATGGTGTCTTTGTCAATCATCCGGGTAAAGTGAGCTTGGAAGTACAATCTGAGCGAACGACGCGGGTGAATATCTCTGTCTCCGGTGAGGAACTTGAATACTTTGTTATTTTTGGAACGTCGCCGAAGGATGTGCTCAGACGGTATATCGCGCTTACGGGGAAACCGGCGCTTGTTCCAGCGTGGAGCTATAATCTCTGGCTGACGACGAGTTTTACGACGAATTATGATGAGCAGACTGTTACGGGGTTCTTGGATGGGTTTCAGGAGAGAGATATTCCACTCGGGGTGTTTCATTTTGACTGCTTCTGGATGAAGTCGTATCAATGGTGTGATTTCGAATTTGACGATGAGATGTTTCCCGATGCGCCGGGGTATCTTAAGAGATTGAAAGATCGAGGATTGCGCATCAGTGTATGGATCAATCCATATGTCGGGCAGGCTTCTCCTCTTTTCGAGGAAGGCAAGAAGAATGGTTACTTCATCAAGGTATGATATCGACCGTTCAAATCTTATTCAAAGCTCGTGCAATTCCCTCAATACAAACTAACAATCTCCCCAGCGTACCGACGACTCCGTTTGGCAATGGGACTTCTGGCAGGCTGGCATGGCCGTCGTGGACTTCACCAATCCCGCCGCATGCACTTGGTACACCAGCCACTTGGAAAGACTCATGGACATGGGTGTCGACAGTTTCAAGACTGACTTCGCCGAACGAATCCCAGTCAAAGGCATTAAATACCACGACAACTCCGACCCTGCCCGAATGCACAACTTCTACGCTCTCCTTTACAACCGCATCGTCTACAACGCGCTAAACTCCCGCGTCGGAACAAACCAAGGTCTCCTCTTCGCGCGCAGCGCTGCCCCCGGCGGCCAGCAATTCCCCGTACACTGGGGTGGTGACTGTGAGAGCACCTTCGAGGCAATGGCCGAGTCTCTTCGCGGTGGACTGAGCCTAATGCTTAGCGGGTATATCTTCTGGGCGTCGGATATCGGAGGATTTGAAGGGACGCCGCCGCCGGCGTTGTATAAGCGATGGGTGCAGTTTGGACTATTGTCTTCGCATTCGCGACTTCATGGGTCCAGTTCGTTCCGAGTTCCGTGGATCTATGGCGAGGACTGCTCGGATGTTTTGCGAGATTGCGTGAAGAGGAAAATTCTTCTCACGCCGTATATCTTGCAAGAAGCTTTGCGAGGTCATCGGGAGGGTGTGCCGCTCATGAGGGCGCTTTTCCTTGAGTTTCCCCAGGATTTGAATACGTATTCTGTTGATACGCAGTATATGTTTGGGTCGAATTTGATGGTTGCGCCTGTTTTCTCTGAGGAGGGTGAGGTCACGTTCTATGTGCCCCGGGTTGAGGATGAGAGTCAAGGGGCTTGGGTGAGCTGGTTTGATTATTCGAAAACTTATGAGGGTGGTCGGTGGTATACCGAAACTCATGGTTTTGATACACTGCCCATTCTTGTTCGGCCGGGAACAGTGACAATCACAAACCCCTTGCTGAAGGCACCCGAGGATGCAGCATTGGAGGGTATTCAACTGTTGGTCAATGGCAGATTGGATGGTGAAACATCAGTGGAAATTGTGAATCCTGGTCAGACAGGTGAGGTCTTGAAGACCATTCAGATCTCTCCTGCTGCGGATGGGAAGAGTGTCGAGGTTGAAGGAGAAGAATTGGAGGTGATCTACTTGCATAAGTGAGCTAGCACTGTCATTTTACAACAGCCAAAGAATTGAACTTCATGGCCATTTTTAGTCAGGCATACCTCTTCGGCTCGTAAATCAAACGAAGCTCAGCACGAGGTACATGGCCAGCATGCGATGAAAAAAGTAACTTATCTTATGCCCACTACAATACAATCGCTTCGATTAGAATACTTGACCATCAAGCAATGCCTCAATGGTCTTGGAAAAAGAATCGAGAAAACTATTCTATTCAGCAAAAAGTGAAGTAAAAAGACAATATCAAGATTAAGATCAAACAAAAATGCCAGGCCTGGTTGAAACAGGCATCAACAAAGACTTGGGTATCATAGAAAAACATCGCAGCAATGCACAGCGAAGTATGAATCATACTTCTGAATCGGCAAAAAGGTCAGGGTGGAAACCCCTCTAAAGAGAGGGCAGCTAATGATAAAACGCTTGGGGTGGGTGGGTAGGTGGGTGGATGTAAAATAGCCCCGTGGTGGTTCACAGCAATGTAAATGGTAAACGGCAATCCAATAAATCACCAGGCTTCTTCAACGTCGAGAAGCCACTTGCGAATTCCTTGACGCAGGGTATTATCAGCGCCAATCTGAGCGCGTCGACGCTCGCGGTCGGCGATGCCTAGCTCGTTATCAACGTCTTCCCGGCAGTGTTCGGCTGTGACGATGCGGACAACCTCTTCCAAAGCTCCGAGCACCATTTTGCGACATTCAGCACGGGGTACTTCAAAAGGAGGATCTTCTGCTCGGGGCGTGGTCTGGCCGGTGTCATCTCCTCGGCGAGCACGCGAAGGTGATGGGGCACGGGATTGTGCTAGCGAGGAATACCCGCTTTGTCCGAGGACTCGCTCGACGGCGTCGACAAGGATACCATCGAGATCCATGACAGGCTCCTCAATGAATCTTTCTTCCACATGGTGAGGGTCTGGCCCGTTACTGAGATTGTCATCAGGCGATTTGCTATAGCCGACAATGCCTGGAAATTGGGAATTTGAAGAGCGTTGGCCTTGGTTGAGGCCACTGGCCGGGGATGGAGGGCTTTGGCTCGTTCCATAATGATGGCCCACGATGATCTTGCGTCTTAGCCGGAGACGTTTAACAGAGGACGCCCGGGTATCTGCAATCAAGGTAGTTGCAACATCGACCCAACGCTCTGAGCCATCTGCATCTGGAGTCGAAGGGATATAGGGCGAGGGCTCTGCTTGCATGGCACGTTTAATATCTGCCTCGATAGATGCATAAGGTCTGACTGCTTGCAGCGAGAAATCCTCATGGAACACTTTCAGCCAGCCAGCAACGTGAGATCTGGGGCCATCGGGAGTATCTTTCATGGCATTGTGGAATCCAGAGCCACTGCTGTGAGTGGATGGAATGCCATCGACGCTGTTAATTGACGCTCGAGTCTTTCTCGGTGATGCAATTGTAGAGTCTCCCGAGGAGGAGAGAGATAAGAATCCAGGCAGTGGAAGATCGACGTCTACCACCCCCTTCGTCGGCACGCACTGAGAGCTTCAAAGGGGACTCGCGAACTTGGCTTGTCAGAGATGAAGGCTCCGGGGAAGTATCTTCAGATCCATGGGGTGCAGTAGTTGGGATCGAGATGTTTCCACTCGGCAATGTATCGAAACGGTGCTCTGCCTCATCTTCAGTAACCTCCTTGACCATTTCACTCAATGTGGGTGGGCCACGTGTGATAGGACCGGCGATTGTAGACACCGACTTTTTGCGGGCTTGAGATGGAGAGTAGTAATCGGCCCCATCTGTAGACTCCTGTCGTGAGCTCCACAGGCCCGAGAAGAGACCTCCCCAGCGGCCACCGGCAGATGGAAGACTTCCGTTAGAGCTCAGCACAGTGCTGTCGCTTCGTTGTAGATTCTTCAGCAAATTCTCCGATGCCAGGCTGTCATTGGACCCAGGTCCATTGTGGTCAGGTCCTCCCTGGCTGGTGCGGCTTTGCTGTGAAGTAAAATGAGGGACAGGGACGGTACTGCTTTGGTTTGTTATCGAGATGGTTGCTCCACTGTCACGAGGATCTCTGGCCTGGGGGGTTGGGACCCAATGTCCGGATGGAACGGGCATCTGATTCTCTACGTGCGGCTGGATGTTGCGCCGGGAGGTTCATGTCAACAGCTTCTGTGGACCTCAGGGTTGTTTCTTGAGACGAGACGCTCGTCGAACGCCTGTGTTGACCATTCTCACCGGGGAATCCTCGCTGGGCTCGTGTGCGTCGTTCGATGGCTCTCCGAAGGGATTCCTGGCGAAGGACTGGCACTGCCGGTGGACTCTGAGATATGGCACGCATTGACGCTGAAGTTCCAGGACGAAGCGGCGAAGGCAAGGGGTCGATTCGCTGTTTAGAAGGGAAGAATGCGGAGAGTAGGAAAATCAAACGGCGGGCAGTCATCTTGTCTGGGCAGATGACTACAGTTCGGTGGGTGAGGATGGGTTCAGAGTCCTGTTGAGCCTTTTGCTGTTGATTATGGCGGCGACGGTACCAATCCGGCCCAAGGGCATTCAGCCACTCAGTATGGTTGCCCAGGAACGCAGTGAGCAAAACCAGGAAGAAGAAATTTGATTCTTTATCTCCAAGCCCTCGAACGATGGAACGACCTTCCTCTCGCCACACACCCCAACGACTCTGGCCAGTCACGACATATGGGGTTTGAAGAGCCATGCTGATGCGACGCGTACTGCGAATGGCCTCTTCTTTGAGTTTGGAGTTCACGGCAAGTATGTTGGCCGGCAAATGAACAATGGTCTGATTGGTACGCTGCATATTTGGAGGCTTCGCAGGCTTCGGGTGGGAACCAGCGAGGGAATCGACCTTTCGCAACAAGAAAAGAATCTCATTCCGGGCAAGTCGCTCCAAGTGGGAAAGGGTGCGGGTAATAACATCCCAATGGTCAACCAACAAATCCAATCGCTCGTCTAGGCTCGCTGGAGGGGAAGCAGCTGATAGGCTATCATCAAAAAGCACACCGGGCCAACGGTAGTCCGAATCCAGGGAGCTAGAAAGTCCAATCCGAGAAGAATCAAGGCCGAGGGTGCTGAATCGAGATACTGGTCTCCCCGCATTACTCCGTGCAAGCAAGGGGATTTGGATCGTAATCGCAACCGCATACATGGGGGTTTTCTTCTCCTTGATTTTCTTCCGCTTTGCCACATCCGGGAAGGGGAAGCCCATTTCGGGAAGAGATTCCTGATAGATGGCATTGGCGTAGTCTTGCCGGTCGGCTGAAGCGTCTGGGCCTTCTGGGAGATTGACGCTGAACATTCGGGTCAACAAGACGGTGACCTTGGCAGGCGGTTTGCCATCTAGGCCTCGAGCCGCTCCCATCATTCCAGAGGGGCTTCCAGTGGTGTAAGCCCGGGCGATAGGGCTTCGACCAGCAGGTGACATGCTAGCTGACATTCCTGACGTTCCAGAGTCATCGTCAGCAGAGATGATGTGCATTTTTGTCGATGAGCCTCGGTAGCTGAAGGCGCTGCTGCCGAAGATGCAGTTAAGCAAGCCAGTGTCATTGGAATCGGTGCCATGTCTCGGATTATCGTGCCAATTTCCTCCGGGGGTAAGTGTAGAGCTACGGCCTCGGGCACGGGAGAAAGCACCGGCGCTGGCTGTTGAGGCCCGCCGTGCGCTGGCGGCGGTAGCGAGGGGACTCGATTCGACGACGGAGGATTGTGTAAGAATATTCCGACGAGTGCCGCGAGATAGACTGGAGACCGCACGAGTATGTCTAGAGCCAGTTTGATCGAGGCCCTGCGAGTCGATGCCGAGACCAGTGGGTGGAGAATCGGATGAGGCACGTGTGTCCAACAAGACGCAGGCATCCCGGTCACCCAAGGCGTTCTGTGCCACAATCACCCGGAAATCCTTGGATGGTTCCAATTCCATCCCCCCACGGTCATCGTAAGCACCAGCAGTGGAGGCATTGGGAGAGTGAAAGGTCGTTTGTAGTGGATATGCATGGGTGTTTGAACGACGGAGCAGGCTAGCATCAGGGAAGAGAAGGCCGGAGGTATGTTCCTCTTCGGTGACCGATTCGAGAGGAGTTCCGTGATTGCGAGAGGAAGAATAGGTGGCCGGGTTCAAGCTTGAAGCGGCGGTGCTTAATAGTCGACCCAACATGGTCAAGGTCAGATTACCACGGGGGGGTTTAAACCCGCCGTTAGCAGAGGTAGGTAGGTGTAGCAAGATTCAATGAGAGGCAAATGAACCGATCGAGAGACGTTGTGTAACGATGGGTATCAGACAGCTAGGAGATACTAGACTGCATGTACCCATTGCTTAATTCCACCGAGCAGGAACCATCATCGACTGATGGAGGGGCGAGAATGTCGAGAAATGCTGGGGGAGGGGGGAGGTTGGAAGAGCAGGAAAGTGGGATGAGCTGCAGCAGTGGGGCGGGGGATTGCCACCGAGAAAAAAGAATAAAGGAGACAATTGGCGGGGGCACCCCACAGTCAATTCAAAAGAGAAGAAGAGAAGAGAAACGAAGGCAGCGACGGGGCTGTTTCTTGAAGGGGAGTTGGAGAGGAAAGTCGTGGAGATTCCGAATGGCGGTGTGCTGCAGTGACAACGGGTCCCGCCACATGATCATCAGCCTCACTTGTGACACTGCATTAGCATAGGAAGGGGGGGAGCTTTGCTGGCTTTGGTACGAAGTAAGATGGTAGGTATGAAGCAATGGGACCCTAGACGTCTTATGCTGCTATCCCTGCTGAATGATTATCCAAGTACCCTTGGGCTTGGGTACTAGTTATAGTACTCCGTACGGCATTCTAGGTTGATCCCGCCACCCACTTAGTACTTATAGTCTAGTACATATAGAGATATTTTAGTAAATAAAGTCCACAAGTACACTCTACTAGACTGAAAATTATCGATATACCCCCAGCCGATTGTCTAACTAGAGCGGTGAATGCCAGGTGACACAGTATCAACCACTGTCGGGGTACTGCATACAGAGTTACGCGGTGAAGACTTGACCCAGGACCAGCTTCCGTTCTAGAACAGCTTGATTCCTAAAATGCTGCCCAGGAAAATCAAGATGCATGTAAAGGTAGAGTCGAGAGAGTATGGAGTCCGGGCGTAATCCGTAGTAACCAAATTCCCGGGGTCTTTGTAACCAGAACTACTAATGCAACCGGCATGAGATCTGCAAAATAATCGCTAGGATATGATCTGTCCATTTCTATCCATCCAGATTTGATATCGTGGTCCCATAGTTACAATAAAGCCAACCAGCAGCTGCGCTCATGCCTTCTTTGACTGCCGCTTCACCTTGTCCACCAACCGCTTGAGGTCCTCGGACCCGGCCTCCTTCGATGCCTTCTTCTGCTTCTTCGAGCTATCGCGGTGCTCTCCTGCCACATCGGTCTCACCGTCATCTCGGTTACGCCGGCGCTTACGGCCTTCGTCCAACAGGGCCTTCATGCCGGAGGTAGCCTTGAATCGGGGATTAGTGGGATCAATCGCGAACTCGTGACTCTCATACAGACGGGCGAATCGGGGATCGCTGACGTCGACATTGAAATCATCCGGTACTGCAGTTGCCTCCTTGTTCTTGCCCTTGCCCTTGCCCTTCTTCCGCTTGGCCTGTTTCTCAGCCTTCTCGATCTCGGTCATATCGAAATGCTTGATGTCGGCCTGCTTGTCGTCCACCATGAGAAGCTCCAACTCAGCCCGTTGGCGAGCCGAGGCAGCTTCTTCAGCAGCACGTTCCTCCCGCTTCTTGCGCTTCTCCTCCTTGCGGCGGGATGTTGCCTCAGCTTTGCCGGATGGATCGTCGAAGAAGGGATCGTTGAAGCCCAAGTCTTCCTCTGGTTGGGCTGCCTCGGCCGGGGCAACCTCCTCCTCCTCCTTTGCACCATTATCCGAGTGCTCTCCATCCTCGTCGTCGTCACCACGCTTGGCCTTTTGTTTCTCCTTTCGTCGCTTCTTGCGCTCGCGCTCCTTGCGCACGTATTTGTCGACGGTGCTCTCCTCAATCTCTGGCTCGTTCTCGAAAATGGTATCCTTGCCATGACCGCCAGCCAGACCCGACGTGAAGGTCACTTCCATCTCGCCGACGGGGCCATCTGATTTGGTACGCGTGGGTTCCGCGCTGAGACCCAGCAATGCCCGCATGCGCTGTCTCTCGGACTCCCGCTTGGAGAGCTTGCTTGATGTGCCTTCGCTTGTAGTATTATCGACAACTTCCACTCCTCCATCTTCCTCGTCCTCGCTTTCAGAGCTGTCGCTGCCAAGATATGCCTTCAGGTCGTTTTCATCAATGTCCTTTCGCGAGCCACGGAACGCACGTCCCTGGGCCTCCTTGCGAGCCTTGTCATCCGCATCCCAAGTTAACTTGACTTTACTGTGTTGAAGAGCATCGGTGACGAAATCACTGGGTCTGTAGTCATCGGGAATTCGAGAGCATTGGTCTCTGGGCTTGTCGTCGTCGAAATCGGTCTCATCGGGAACGAAGCGGAGATCAAAGAAGTTGGCACTGGAGAGGTACTCTGCGCCGTCAACGAGATCGTAGACATGTTTGGCCACCTCCTTGGTGGAGAATGTAAGAATGGCATAGTAGTAGCGGAGTCTCTCAAGCTGGTAGCGGCGCAATTGTGTAGAGTTGAACTCTTGGCCATCGTCACCCTTCAGCATGGACTTCTTGATTTCTTCCTCTTCCTCATCCGAGTCAAGCTCCTCTTCCTCCTCTTCCTCCTTTTTCGTAGCGAAGATCTCTCGAGGGGGCCCTTCGATCTCTTCCTTCTCCATTCGCTCCTTTCCGAATTCACTTGGGTAGACGGAAACCTTCAGCACGCGGCCTCCAGTAGGGGCAAAGCTTGAAAAGACAGCCATGAGATCTTCAGCACGAATGTTGTCCCAGTCCAGATTGACGACCGCTATCCGGGTCGTTACGTCTCCGAGAGGCACATTGGCTTGCTGCTGGTCGGGGAATTCAATCTCGTCTTCGTCGAATTCCACCTCTTCATCCTCCTCCTCTTCGCTCGAGCTTTCCTCTTCGGAGGAAGAGTCGGAAAATCCGCCATCGCGAGCAGGATCATACGAGCGTCCTTCGTTGATCCGCTTCAGCTCTTTCCGCACTTCCTTATCATCGTCAATGCTGACGTTGTCTGCAACATCCTCCTCTTCCTCTTCCTCTTCCTCATCCTCATTATCCTCATCCTCGTCCAGGCGGTACAGCTTCTTCAGTTGCTTCTTTGTATCGTCACGGGCCAATTTGCGTCCATATCGGTCAACGGCAGCATTGCGAGAGAAATCTTTATCCTCAAGCATGTGCTGAAAGCGCTTGTCAAGTTTGACATGGGTCTGGCGCTTGCTGGGAAGACGGTAGCGGGGATCGGTCTGGATGTTGGCAAAACGAGGGTCGGCTATACATTTCATCAAGTTAGCGAATCTTCATTTGATTGCGAAAGCGAATTTGGATATCTCATAGAACGTACTAATGACTGGACCGGCTTCGCCTTTGGCTTTGCCGGCCTTCTTAGACTTTTTCTTGTCTTGGCCTGCCATTGTGCAATGCGCTCGTATATTCAGAATACAGAGCGAACACAATTTAACAGAAGCCGGAAGATTAGATCTTGAATGTCAATCGCGTGGATGGGAGAAACCTTTCGGTGGACCCGACGAATTTCTTTTTTTCTGCCGGTTTTTGAAGGCGGTGCAGGTAGTTGGGTGCACGTGCCATTTCGCTCAAAAGGGAAAGAGCGTCCTTTCCGAGCTGTGTACAACACGAACTTGAACTGGTATGCATAAATATAGTGTCAATGCTACTGGATAAGGTTATTGGTATATGGATAGTATATTGTGATGTTCGTTCATAGAGTCGAGGATAATTTGGAGCCAGTGTAATGGCCAGATGCCCACTGGCACCCGCATGTACCGCCCGCTGCCCGGGCATGACCTCTCGGGACCAGAAATATACATTGAGTCTGAGGATGGAACATGGACCTCCAGGGCTAGTACATACAGTAGTACTTACTACTAGTAGGTACTAAAGTCTAAGCAGGTAGTACTAGTACCAGCATGAAACTTTCTAGGTTTGAAATGACACGGGACAACTTGAACCTTCAAGCCTTCAGGCTGAAGTTCAAGTTGCCCAAGCTCCGCGGCGTGCTAGGGTTTTATTTAGGTAGGTACTGTGAATACTAAATGTATCCATCTAGGTCACCTGCACGTAGGGTAACATGTAGCTACTAGTAGTGAAATGGCTCAATGCGTAACCTTGGAAAATGAATGAACATCATATATGCAACGTGCGTTTATATACTTCGTTAGTAGGTAACATGTGAACTACTGGTCTACTCGCGAGAACACACTAGCAACCAAAGTAGCGCTTCTCCATCCATCGGGCTTCAGCCTCGTTCTCGATCCGGCCAACTACAACCTTAATCTTAGGGTACACCGCCGTCAATCGCTTCAGTCCCGTTTCTCCAGCGGCACAGGTAACGAAGACAATGCGGTCCTCTTGTACCCCGTGGTCAACCAAGACCCGAACAGCCATCAGTGCAGCTCCACCACTGGCCATTTGTGGGTCCAGGAGCATGACCATAGAATGACCTTCGATCCCTGGCTGAATCTTCAGGTAGTGAAGTTCTGGCTCTTGGCTGGTCTCGTTTGTCTGGATCAAAAGCCGACCAGTGATGCAATCCGGGATGGTTCGCTTCAAGGCGGTTTCCATACAAGAGCCGCCGCGGAGAATGGCAACTGCGGAGACAATTCCATTGGGATGCAGCCCTTGATACTTGTTACCTTGTGGAGTCTCCACGATGGTTGGCGCATATGGCGACATGTCCAAGGCCCTAGAGAAATAGATCGTTAGAAAAGGCTCAACAACAATGAGGACGCGGAATCATACTTTTCGATCAGGATTGAGGCGAGTCTGTCAAGGTAAAAGACAAAGTCATCCTGCTGGGTTTCCGGAGTTTGTAGAATGGTGTTCATGCCCACGAATTGGGGAGTTGAGGGCATCACATGTACGTTCGGTGGCAACTCCACCTTGGCGGCGATAAGGCCGAGATTACGAAGTGCCTCTGTGTGCTGCTCAGACTTCTCTTGGAGCTTTCGTTGAATGTGCTTGACGACCATATCTGGATAAAGTTAGTATGAGAGCCAGACTTGGAAGGGTGTCACGAGACCACCTACCGATAGCAGTCAAGTTCTCAATTCCACGAGGGATGATGATATCTGGGGGGGATGCTATTAGCTTTTATATAAGATGGCACAAGATAGAAGTGATTCAATTTCATACCCGAAACCTGCCGTTGGGCGTCCACGTATTTGGTGTATGAGGGCTTCACAAAGGCAAACCACTGTTTGATGATGCCCTCGATATCACGACCTCGATCACGGACATCGCGAAGAACTAGATTAATCTCAATGTCAGTTTTGTCAGTGGGAGATACAGCATGGAGCACATACTGCGGCGGCCCAAGCAGACATCCATATCGGCCTCGACGAAGATCTAAGTGGGGTAAGTTTAGTCAAGGCTCGACCGCGAAGATAGCGGCCAAACATACCTTGACATCGAGGAGGTCGACGATGCGGGGGTCGTGTAGCGCCAGAATACCGTCAAAGACGATGACACGCGGGGAATAAAGAGTTGTCGTTTGAGGTTGACGCTGATGCTCCGCAAAGGAGTAGACTGGGATATGGGCTTTCTTGCTGGCAAGGGATTCTAGTCAGATCAACCAGAACACGATACTCTTCTTGACTGCAAATGCACCCCCCCCCCTACAACTCACCCCTTCTTCAGATCTTTCAGGGTGTCGACCAGAACATCAAAATCAAATGCGTCTGGACAGTCGAAATCATACTGATTTGCATGAGCTTGGCGGTGTTCCTCGGGACTCAGTGACTTGTAGAAGGAATCCTGCGACTACATGTTAGAGATGTATTTTTCTAGGCCATTTTTCGTAAATCAAAGCATTTAAATGCAAGCCATACCAGCGATAGAATTACAACCCAAGGTAAATTCAGGGACTTGACAATCTCCATAGCGACCGAGGTTTTTCCCGAGCCAGAGCAACCAGCGATGCCGATGATGCTTAGATCCTGCCATGGTGGTGAGTAATTCACCCCCTGGGTGAGAGAATAAAAGGGAGAAATCGATTCCATGGCCCCCTTCTTTTTCTTTTCTTTGTTCACACCACCAGGAGACTGGACGAAGTGGAAGGCAAACGAAGGTTGTCTCAAGGTGAGCTTGTTCCATGCAGCATTGAATTGGGCTTAGCGCGGGATCCGTTCGCTTGTGGATGACTCAGCACCAGTGATCTTTTACTTTTTCTGCAAGCGCGGGAGCTTCTCGTCTTTTTCTTCTTCTTCCTCATCTCTTCCCAGCTTCAGAGCATTTCCTCCTTCCAGCGTTCAGCCTTTTCTCCATGGCCGTCGTCTCCTGGGCCGCTCTTGAGCTTCACGGATAGCTTCTACATTCTTGCAGCTAGCTGTTTCCTCAGCAATGTCTGCTAATCTTGTATGAATGCCCGGCGTGTCTTCTCGCTCGTGGTTATTTGGGTTTAACAACCGCACAGATGTCTCGCACTCCCTCGACAGCTACGCCAACATGGCACCAGTTCGAGCGGAAGGTTGACGAGGTCAAGCCATCCAAGACGTGAGTCGCCTTCCTCCGGTTCCTCCGGCATATCCTTTCACCTCCCCCTACCCTCGACTACTCGATTGCCCCGAGTCGGTCTGCCCTTGACATGATGCATCTTGAAAATCAAGTTGGGAATCTCTCTGAAAATCGCTGAGGAGAAACTATTGACTTGTCTATCTGAACTGCTTGACCCATTTTCATCTCATTGCCACATCCCACATGCTTTGACAGACAGTCGCTAATAGTGAACTGCAGTGACATTAACTATCTGGTTATGGACTACCTCATCACCAACGGATACCCCAGTGCTGCGAAGAAATTTGCAATTGAGGCCAATGTCCAACTCCAAACGGATCTTGATTCGATCCAGGAACGGGTTGAGATACGGACTGCTATCCACTCGGGTAATATCCAGCTGGCGATCGAGAAGGTCAATGAACTGAATCCTCAGGTAAGACTTTCCTCCTTTAATCTTGCACCATCAACCATTCCCGCCATCCCCTCTTTGCTATGATTATAATGTTTCATGCACCACTCCTACACACCCTCCGGGGAGTTGCGGAAAAACAAACATCTTCAGTCCTCAGTATGAGCAAAATTCACATCTCAAATTTTCACAACGCACATTGCAAACCTTTTTCAAGTGCCAAGGCTAACGATATGAATCAGATTCTGGACGAACACCAATCCCTCCACTTCGCCCTTCTGCGCCTGCAGCTCATTGAACTAATCCGCACCTGCACCTCCACTCCCAACGGCGATATCAGCCCAGCCCTGGAGTTTGCGACGTCCCAACTAGCCCCGCGAGCCCCAACCAATCCACAGTTCCTTGAGGACTTGGAGCGGACCCTCGCACTCCTGATTTTCCCCAGTGACAATCTGGCACCAGGTCTTGCTTCCCTCCTTGACCCAACTTTACGTAAGGACATCGCGACACGTGTCAATGAGGCGATTCTCGAGAACCAGGGCGCTCGTAAAGAGGCGCGCCTGCGTGGCCTGGTTAAGCTCCGCGCCTTCGCAGAGAACAAAGCCCGCGAGTCTAAGAAGGATATCCCTGATAAGCTGGATATCGGTCTGATCAACGAGACTCACGACAGCACCCGTAATTCCAATGCCAATAATGGCGCTAGCAATGGAGCTAGTGACACTGTCATGTCTAACAATGGCGATGTCGACCCTATGATCTCATGATGATCTTTGATTCCTCTATCTTGCTGTGCCTGCCCAGGTCGGCTTGGCTTTGCTCTCGCAACATCCTTTTCTTTCTAACTGCACAGTCCGGCTACTCCCTGTGGATTTTTTAGCGAGGCGCTTGGGGTACGAACATGGTTTCTTTGATGGAGTTCCAGGGGTTCTTACCTTACTATAATACATTCTGACGCACAGTCATCTGTGATTTTACACATTTTTCCCCTGAAGCAATCCGTATCTCGACTTGTATTAGTAGCTCTCCAAGAACCGAGAAGTTCCTTCCAATTTTCCTTCACCCGCTGCTTTCTGCTTGAGATGGTTTGTCTGGCGCCCGAAATGACCCGTGCGCGGGCCTGCGGCAGAGCCTCTAGCACTCAGTGTCCATCTCGGCTGCCCTCTGCCTTATTCCTTAACCCAATAGATATCTAGGCATTAACCTAGTACTACATACCCCCGTCTTTCTTAATGGATATTTCCGAAATCCGGATACAAGCCAAGTCATGAGATATTCCAACCTGTCCGTTGTATTCAATCCAACAGTAGTGGCATGCAGCCAACGTATGAATACAAGCAAATCCGATCCAATTCACGCATTCGCAGTGGAGACAGATAGAAAACTTGAAAATGGTAGTAGGCAGACGCATTACACAGAATAAGAAAAAGGCTAAGCAACAGGGGCGGATCCACTGGAGTCCGAGTCAGTTCAGTTCGATCCGGTCCGATCTGTGGATGCAAGATACAATGATAGGTAGTACTCAAGTCCATGAACGACTTCTAAGCTATGAAAAACTAGAATAACTAGAAGCAGAAATTGCAATGGAAATGGGAAAAAATAAAATAGAAAATCGTTTCAAAGCCTCAGGCTCAATATGGGAGAAGAAAACAAGGGGAAATACAACAGGAACCCTCTCCTATCCGTCAAGGGTCCAAAGCAGATCAAGCTATGATTTAGATTTAAAAGCTCATAAGATCTGTTGAAAGAATCGTGAGTAAGCTACATTGACTCTCATTCAAGAACAGGGAAAACCCGAGGGGGGGGGGGGCATGAACACACCTCTTCCAAAGAAAGCTCGCTTAGCCCAATCCATAGCCAGCATACAGCGAGTCCGGAAGCTAACACTCTCGGCAAAGTAGATACTGCGCCAGAGATACATAGCAATAACACCACCGCTAAAGCTCATGCCGCCGAAATCAAAGATCGCTGCGTTACTGATATATGCCAAGCTACCGAGATGTCTGTACTTGAATGCGCGGTAGACCGCCTCATCCAGATCACCGTAGTCAATCTCGTTAGCCTTAAGGCCCGGCAAGGCCGCTGCGATCTTGCTCAGCTTCTGACCTAGATACACGCCTTGCTGGTTCGCGCGCTGGGCGGTGGCTGGGAGGGAGGTGAGCTTTGTGTCAATCTGGTGCAGAAGTTCGGAGAGTTCGCCGTAGTCGAGTGTGCCGGAGTGGTCTTTGTCGTATTGCATGAAGAGGCGATCCAGACGGCGGAGATGGTTGGTTGCTTGTGGGAAGCGGCGTTTCACTCTGTTGGCGACGTCGGTCCACTCAGAGAAGGTGAGGTGCACCTTTTCGGGGTCTTGGCCTTTCTCCCAGGCGATTGTGCGGAGGAAGCGGATGATGTTTTGGGCAAGGTTGTTTTGGACCGTGGAGCAGTCACCGATGGCGTAGACGTCACCGAGCGGTGCGCCGATAATGCGGAGGTGGGAATCTGTTTCGATGGCGTGTTTATTGTTTTGGCCTTCCAGTTTGTTTGAGAGGGTTTCGCAGATTTCGGCGCGGGCTTGGGGTTGCATTAGTATAGTACTTGGTTCGTGGAATAGATAAGAGTCATAGCACTTACCAACACCAGTTGACCAAAGACAGAATCCAGTAGGAATTTCCTTGACAACGGTTTTACCATCCTCAACCTGGCTGAAGAGGACCTTATCCTTTTGCACTTCCTTAACACGGGCATTGGTCAGGACTTCAACTCCATCGCGAGTAAAGCGACCCTCAGCGTATTTAGACAAAGCCTCATCGTAAGTATTCAGAATATGAGACCGGCTCTGAATAATGTGAACAGAAATCTCATTCCTCACAATGCGCGGGAAAGAGTGCAAGAGGTCCTCATTCAGCAGATCGAACAGCTCAGCCGCGAATTCAACACCGGTAGGTCCACCACCGCAGACCACAAAAGAAAGCAGTCGACGACGCTCCGCATCAGTAGTAGTGGGCAGACAAGCCAATTCCATATTTTCCAAAACCTTATTCTTAATCTGGCGCGCGTCGTCAATAGTCTTGAGGAAATTACAGTTCTCAAGACCCTTGACACCATGTGGATTCGTGACACAGCCAACGCCAACAACAAGCTTGTCGTACGGTAGATAGAAGCTCTTCTGGTGGCCGTCCCTGTCAACCTGCGAAACCTCAACCAATTTCTCAGAGAAGTGCACATCCGTCGCAGAAGCCTTGAGGAAATGACCATTAACACGCTCAATGATCCGACGAACAGGTTCAACCAGCGAGCGAAGACCCAATGTGCCCACCGTAGCGGACGGCAGCATAGGCGTAAAGAGGAAGTAATTCGTCGGCGAAACAACAGTAACGTGATAATCTCCAGGATTCAAGTTCTTCAGCAAAGCAACACTGCCCCAGCCCGTTCCGAGAATCACCAGACGCGGTTTATCCTTCTGTTCCAGCATTGATTCCGAGTCGTAGTCGCCGACCAGGAAATCCGCTATCGGCAGGTTCTTGGGGCCGCCGCGACGTGGGTTCAGGGCCAATTCCGATATAGGGATATCCTCCGCACTGGACGATTCGCGATAAGTGCTCGCATCGTAGACGAAGAAACCAGCGACAATCACTCCGGAGGTGATGACGAAGAAACCGCAGAACGTGAAGACCTTGGATAATATTTGGGCGGCGCGGGATCGGGCCTTGGGAGGGACTGTTGCAGCAGCAGCTTGTGCTGCAGCGGTGGCAGTGGGAGTGGCAGACGCATCGTCAGATTTGAACCGGACAGGAACGGCGACTTTCGAGACCGGGGTAAAAAACGCATTTCGTTGTTGCTGTTGCAGCGGAAGGCGGCGGGTGGTGGTTTGCAAGGATCGCGAGAGCGGGCTGATCCTGGCTGTCAATGGCTGTTTGGGGACATTCAGTCTCAGCTGAGAATTCCCCAATCGCCTTCAGCGCGGGGCCGCCCGGTCGAATCCGGAACAACGCCGCGCTCATGCTGGGCAGCAGCAAGAGTAGCGGGTATGGCTGGAGGAGCTCTCACTGTAGCTGCAGCTAAGGCTGGAGCTGGGGAGATCAACGTCTGCCAAGGAAAGATAAGGCGGATCTCACAGCGGAGCGCTATACATATGAAGTGAGTGACCCGGGAACGCAACGAATGTTAAGAGAAAAAGTACGACAGAAAGTAACGTGGACTGGAAAAAACCTGAAGATGTCAAGATGCAGGGACATTGCGGACATTCGCGGCGCCAACTTGTCGCGACGTCATGTTGGAAATCACGTGGACCGGGAGCCGGCACGCCCGAAAGCAGCCCTAAACAGAAAACAGCGTCGGTGAGGAAGATAAGGAGAACGGGACTAAATACTCCGTGGACTGGTGATTTTAAGGAAGGCGGAGGTGAAGATGCTATTAATACCCTTCCATAAATTCTATTATATACACATCAAACGAAAAATAAGGTGAAGCTCGAGGAAATCCGGCCTAGCAGCCCCACACAAGCAAAGAAGCAAGAGAACCGCCATAATAGCGCCGCATGATGCATAACATGAATGAAGGGGAAAAGAAAGATGTATCTCATGAACTAGCCACCCGTCTTAAAGCTCCTCATAAATACCATCATGTAAAATAATCGAGAAAGACAAAAAAAAGAGAGAAAAAAAAAACGCCAGCCTCGCCTGATATGCAATTTAAAAAAAAAGATGTATGACCTCCATACTCCAGAGATAAAGGGTAAAGAAAGGGATTTAGATCGTACCGGTCATCGGATACTCCGTATTTGATCCATTCATCAATCCCAAGGCTCATCAGGCTCAGGACTGGACCTCTTCCTGCCAACAGAGTCCTTACGACTTTTGGGTCGCTTATTGAATCCCGTACTGGAGACAGAGCTCTTGCGCTTCGGAGGTCGGGCCCCACCAGGAGTAGCCAGCATGTCGTCGACTTCACCGATGGCGTCCAGGTCACCGTCGGCATCATCGCCACGGTCCACCTTGAACTCCTCATCAATGGCGAGCAGGGTTGAAAATTCACGGCATTTGGCCAGCATGGCTTCTTGACTGTCCAGCGTGGTCATGTTTCGGGCAATGGCTTCCCAGAATCTCTCACCAGGGATTCCATGGACCTTGTTCGCGGCCTTGTTGAGTTCCTTTGCGGCAGGCTTGCCTTCCTTGTCTTTCGTGTGAGAACTGACATTATAAAGGCGCCGCAGATAGGTGCGTGCTTCCCAAAGCATCATCAGGGAGGCAGCAGCAGTGGCTAGTACCCTTAGCGTGGCAGGATCAACCTGCTGAGGCATAGCCGTCGGCATTGGCGTTTCCGTAGCCAGACCCACCATGCCAGCTGGAGTCTCGACCATTGGGGGCCCGATGGGACTAGGGAAAATATCCGTTTCGATGGCATGAGCGACGACGGTCCCGGTAGACGAAACAATGCGCTCCATGGCTGCGATGGTAGGAACCAGTTCGGCTAATTGAGCGTAATCGAAGTATGCTAGGTTTTGGGAGATAAAGCGAGAGAGTAAGAGATGCTCTGGTGGGTCTCCACTAGTGTCGAGTTTCTTCAACTCAAAGTCGACCTTGGAACACAAGTTCGAGAGAAATTTCTTCTGGTACTTGCTATTGCTGATTTTGACGATGTCAAACAACGGGGCCAGCTTGGCCACATAGGGTCGGGGCGTTGCACCATTGGAGTCGCCAACGATATCGCGCTGGTAGTAGAAGGCTTCTTGGATAGCTCGCATGTATTCTCGTTCGAACATCGATTCGTACTGCGAGTGCAGCATTTTGTGAGTATCAAATGCTACCTTGGCGATAGCTGGTACAGTTGAGGTCTCCAACGAGACAAGCACCCCTGCGCATTCCTTTGGATGCACAAGTCCCTGTCGATTGATGCTGGCAATGAGTTCAATAGCAGTGAGAGCGTAGGTATCCTGTCGTGATTGCGCCACTTTGAGCATGTCTTTCAAGAAGTGCTGGGCGATCAATGCAGCAGCCCCGTCATTGTCGCTAGCTTTTAGAGATCCGCCCAATCGTGTAGAGTCGTCTTTCGCAGCGGTCTCGGCAGCTGGCATAACCGACTTCTCGGACCTGCCTTCGTGAATGGCGAAGAAATCCGCAAACGAGCGGAGCACAATGTTGTGTAGGCCAGGAGCGTCCTCCTTAAAGACCTGAGCAAAGGTCTTTCGACTTGGCTCTCGGCCAAACTGACCGGGCCAAGATTGGCAAATAGAACCCAAGCTCTCTAGACTCATGACTCGCAGCTCGAAAGGCTGGTAGAAAAGCGTAAAGGGGAGAATAAAGTCGACCATGATGTCAGCCACAGTACGTCCAGTGGAAGTCGGGAAAGATTTCTTGAAGTGATTAAAGTATTCTTCAAGATCACAGTGTCGCCCCACGCAGCCCGCAATTCGAATATAGCTCTTGGCTCGAGCCAAGATTCCCGCATTCTGCTCAGTTGACAAGTCCTTTATTCCCTTGTACTCTTGCAAAGGCTTGAGAACCGACACCGTTAGCTTGACCAGACGATCAGTGTTTTGCAGGACGCTATTGATAGTCCAGAGACACGCCATGACTTCGTTCAGCTCGGCGCGGGCAAGTTTGGCCACACTCTTGAAAAGATCGTTCTGGACTTCCTTGAGAAGAGTGTTATGGGCTGATGATAGGTGTGGCAAAACGCAGCGATATATGACTACGACCGATCGGAAGATGAAAAGATCGTCGGCCGTCGCAAGGTGGCCAATGTAGGGATGTAATGCCTCCAACTGGTCGGGGCTGAACAGCTTCGCATTGGCCTTTGCAAAGACAGTGATTGTCTGGAGGAGAGCCTGTTGGAACTCCTTGCCCGAGGCATCTGCATCTTCAACGAGCCGCTGAAACATGATTGCGACCATGGATTTGCAAACCTTGAAATTTGAGGCGGCCGACTTGGATTTATCGGAGAGCACAGCTCGCAAACAGGTGCTGAGGGAGTCCAGAGCAGAATCACTGCGCTGAACAAGGCTGACAATTAACCCAACCTGCTCTCCGAGAGCCATCTTCAGTTTCGGCCCATCGGAGGTAGAGTCAATCGATTCGTGAAATGGAACCAGCCAAATCTCTTCGAATGTTTGACGTGCCAAGGTCGCCACGCTGTCTTCATGATCACCGGTACGTTGGAGAAAACTGTCAAGGATAGCTAATTTCAACTCGTGGCGAGTAGTTTTGTGGTAACGTTCCTTCAGAAGGCCAATGCATCGTTTCCGCACACCGGCCGTTTGGTCTGTGGCGCATGCGAGGATGCTTCGGCACCCCTCTTCTTCCAGCTTTGGCTTTAACCCAATACATTTGGCAATCAAAGACAACGCAGAATCGCGTACCATAGGCGAAGCATCTGTCGTGCAGCGAAGAATGACTCGCATGACTGAAGTATCCCGATCAAGTAGATTTGGATCCTTTTCAAGCATGTATATAACACTCTTCAAACTTCGGCTCCGAACCTTAGCCTGGTCGCTGGCGATTGAATTCAGCAGCACTTTCAAGATTGTGTCAAATGCCTTGCCAAAGCTCGAGGTCAAGACGGTGAGAATGTAGGCAAATCTGCCTTGGACATTTGAAATGAAATCAAATTGTTTGTGGGTTTCCATCCAGCGTGAATCGGAGAATGATTTAGATAGGAGGGATACCAGTTCATCAGTCGTGTCGTCGTATGCCAATTCCTCATTGTCCTCGGCATTGTAATAGAGCGTGCAAACAGTTTTGGCCCACTGGGCCAGGTAGAAGCCCCGTGCACTCGTCAGTTGGGAATTGTCAGAATTTCTAGTTTGAGCAAGATATTCAAGAGCCATCCTATAGGACCCGCTTGGAGCAACAAGATCTTGTGGGTGAAGGGCACGAGAGGTAAAGTCCTCAAACTGCTGCTTGAGGTAATCGGTAATCTCGTTCTCGGAATCGTCCAAGGCAGGAAGCATATGTTGAGCGGTGGCTATGAGATCGGAAATTGCGGAACCCATCCACCCCAGAAGTTCGAGAGCCATGCTTTTGGCCGTGGCTGGACTTTTATCAAGATCTGCGATACCAACCATGTGCGATGCCATGATGCGAAGAAGTAGCTCAGCGGCCGGCCAGTCAGTTGACCCAAGAACGTTGATCAAGTCCTCGGTGAAAAGATCAAGAATGTTGCGGTATGGTTGATCGCCACTCTTCGTTGAGGTCATAGCGCGTTGAACAATGAACTTTATAATGTATTGCGCACTGCGCGAAGCATTATCGTAGAGTCGGTTGACTTTGGCAGCCAAGCGTTCTAAAGACTCGCCGGGGCCATCATCGTCATCCGACTCTTCACTTTTGGTCCCATTGCCATCACCCATGGATTCGTCATCATCGTCATTGCCTGGAGCTTGAAGTCGCCGCCTGGCCTTTGATACCCGTGGAACTTCCAAGGCAGTGGTCTGGACGAGCTGAAGAACCAATGCAGTTAAAAGTTGGATGTTTTTGCCGTCCGCAAGCTTGAACTGTCTAGCACTTTGGCGCGTCGACGGAAGTTTTTCAAGTGAGACGAGAATTTCATCCAAGATAAACGGGCGCTGATCCGGGTATCGGGAAAAGATCTTTGCAAGCACATCCATCGCTCCACGCCTTGCAGATTCATACTTTTGAGGCCCGATGGCTGAGTCCTTATCGTTGTGTGCATTCTCGACGAAGATGAGTTTGGCAGCAAAGAACTCGACAGCCGTGATTGTGCCTTCCGAGACTTCGATTCGAGACAAGAAGTCCGCGAAAAGAGTAAGAACCTTCCTGCTTTGGTTTATCAGATTTCCGATGACGCGTTTCTGTGCTGAGAAAAAACCAAAACGCTCCGCGTCCTTGCCATTAGCTCGTGCCTCCACGGCGAGAATGATACAGTGATCGAATGCCTGGTTCAACACATTGGGAATAGCTTCGATGAGGTCCTCGGGACAGAGGTCACGCTCCGTCTGTCGTCCAGACATTGTCTGCAGGAGAGTGCCAATTGCGAACATGGCATTCAGCATATCCTCCACCTTGGAGAGCCACTCCCGTGCTTCGGATTCATTGGATGGGTCGTTTAAGCTCAAGTCCGGGGCTTGTGACGCGATGATAGACTTCTCACACATTTTCTGGACCCGATTGAGATAGTCGGATGGAACGTCTGGTAATCGATCGAAACTAACCACTTTCCGAATGGCTTTCTGGAGACGGCTATGAGAATCGGAAGATAAGACCAGACCATGCACTTCGAGTGACCCCGTGTTCACGAAAATCGGATTCGGTTTGTCAGATGTCAGAGCAACGGTCATCTCCGGATCGATTTGATCCTCCGCCTCGAATACTTCCAGAAGTAGATCCTGGAGTTTGAGAACGGCGTCGTCCGCCTCAGCCTTTTGATCTCTCAGTCGAACGCCTGACATTTCGACCTCGCCACGATCCCACTTCTGTTTCACACTGGACTTCTGGGCAGATTTCTGAGGGGAAGGCTTGACCGGAATCACCACGGAGATTCCACTCGAAGAGAGGTTTGGCGTCGAGGATGGCGGTTTCGAATTGTTCGGAGTCACTGGCTGCAGATGATTTGAAGTCGGAGTCTCTCTTGGAACGGGTTTCTGGATTTCGGCTTTGACTTTTGGCGAAGATAACTCGGGATCTATATCTTGTCAGTTGAGTTCAACCACATTTCGTAGCAAGTTCTGGCCGGGTTTGGTCTCACATCTGTAGGCTATATCGGTCGAGTCTAGCATCATCTTGGCGAACGCGCCTAACTGACTGCGTCCCGGAGAAGGGCCATGGGGGGGCACTGGAACCGAGGGGTTGATGGCGAGTGAGGGCAGGAGGAAGCTTGAACTTGCTGAAGGGAAAGGGACGGATCGGATTAGCCTCATACGTCCAAAGGTGGAAAAGAGGGAACTTACAATTCGGTCAACTGGTCCCCATCCAACAATTGCTGGAGATATTCACGCGAGGTTTCCAAGCGACTTGACTCATCCTGACCCGACTGTATTTCTAGATCCAGCTCTTTCAACGTATTGCGGCCGGCTTGAAGCACGTGGTTTATGGAGGTGGTTGTCGAGGGTCGACCGACATCGGGGCGGATTATGCAGTCTATATATTCGCGGGGAATTAGTGATCGGATTCTCTGTCTGCGAATGCACATTGGAGAGGAGGGAGAGGAGAAGAGGTGAAAGGAGGGAAATGTCGTCCGGATTGACTGACCGAGACCAAAGACCGGCGCGCTGGACATGGAGGAATACTGTAAGGCCTCATCGACGGAGAGTGGGCGAGGTTGGGGAAGGAAAGCCATATTGGAGGGTTGTGAATGAGGGTTGATGACAACCTGAACCTGCGGGCGGCCATTCTGATCCATGATGAAGGAGGACGGGGCGCGAGGGTTGGCGCTGGCGCTGGCGTTGGGCCTCTCTTTGTCCGCGATGGACGTGACCGTGGATGACTGATGTATGAGGAATAATTAGGGAGGGCGCTATGGAACACAGCGACATGGCAGTTGCTGAAAGAGAAAGTACGCTACGCCATCGCAGTGAGCGGGACAGTTGCACTTGCTCTAGGCAGGTGAAATTCGAAGTTGAAGTTGAACTTGAAGCTCCCGATGGATCACTGACGTTCCTAAAGGTTGACCTGCATCATTTCCAATCTGCCGCGTCTGACCGCCGGAGTATCACAGGGTGGCCCGTGCGATAAAAAAAAGATTGATCTTCAGATATTCAATCTCATGGAGGTTAGGTGCTTACTTTCTTACTTACTTACTTACCTTCATTATCTCTGAATCCACTCACTCACAATGTCCGCCATCGGCTCTCTGATTTTTTGCACGGATTGCGGCAACCTCCTGCGCGAATCCACCGGTAACGCCGATGCCATTCTACACTGCGATGTCTGCGGAGCTCGGAACAAAGGTGGGCTCAGAAGAACCATATCGCAAAATACTCTCTCCCAGTCTAACAACTCCCTTAGATACCATTCCTCAAACTGTTGTCTCCGAATCCAAGCCTTCAGCCTTCCCTTCCGCCCTGAGAGCCAAGCGATCTGCCGTGCAAACGCTATCCGCCGAGGATCGCAAGACCGAAGCTATTACCGAGAAAACCTGTGAACGTTGTGGCCGTAAAGAAATGTTCTTTACCACTGTCCAGCTGCGCAGTGCCGATGAAGGTAGTACCGTCTTCTTCCGCTGTGTCTGCGGTTACAAGTATGTTATCTCAAAATCTATTTCTCTACTTCCAGATCATCACAGCTAACCACCTATCACTGCGCAGGGAAACCCAGAACAATTAAGTTGAAGAAGATCCACGGGAAAGATGTACTATGGGAAATCGGGTCTATGTGTTCGGGCTGTATAACAGAGAGATATCAAAATAACGACGTCACGACTTTTATTGTTTGTGCTCAATTCATCAATTCATCCAAAATGCTTTTTGTTCTTCGTATCATTTCGAAAGCTTTGTTCGAAAGTCTTACAAATTCTCGTCTCTTCTCGTCTCGTCTGCAATCCTTCATGCCGCAGCGGCAGCAGCTCCCTCTGGAATCAAGGCATACTCAACCTCACCATTCTTCTCAAACTCAGCCATGTCCAGAGCCACAATAACACTATCCCGCACAACCTGCTCCGGGTCATTCAAAAACTTCCTCAGCGTATCCTCGACACCATCCTCGTCACCGAGACTGCCCAGAGCCTCGGCAGCCTCGTGGCGCACCATACCTTCCTCCTTGGTATTGCTCAGGCAGGTGGTCAGGCAGGGAATGGAGGCAGGGTGGCAGAGTTGGCCGAATACGAAGGCGATCTCGTGGCGGAACAGAGCAGATGGGTCGTTCAGGCCCTTGGCAAGTGAGTTGATGGCGTCGACGGCGGTGGGAAGATCGGGGGGAGAGGCGAGGTCGCGGAGACCGAACATGGCGCGATATCTTTGGAAGAGAGGGAGTTTGGTGTCAAGGAGGGTCTTCTCTAGGTCGGGGATGCAGGGCTCGCTGGCCTGGAGGGGCATTGGGGGGGCAGGGTCGATGGAGGTGAAATCGCTGTAAAGAAATAGAATTATTAGCCAAATCTGAAAAGCACTGCTTCACCTGCCTCCCGTCAAAGAGTGCAAGACAAGTAAGGTTTTTTTTGTCATGTGCTCGATCATACCTGGGCTTCAACTTCTCAGCCTTGCGCTCCTCGGAGTTCTCCCAGATAATACGATCAACGGCAATATCGCAAGTCTCTCGGATAATCTCCAATTCATTCTCGTCGTCGCGCAGCTTCTTCAGCATATCCAGACTATCGTCATATCCAAGGGCACCGAGAGCCTCAGCGGCTTCGTGACGGCACATCGCATCCTCCTCGACGTCCTTGACGACATGCTGCAGGTACGAAACGGAGTCGCGGTTGAGAGTCTGGCCAAGGCAGTAGGCCAGCTCGTGCTTCAGGAGAGCGGATTTTGATGCGAAACCGGCGGCGATCGCTTGAATAGCGGGAAGGGTCTGCTCGGTAGGAGGCTGGAGGCAAGCGACGTGCTTGAGGGAGAAGAGGGCTCGGAAACGGCGAGCGAGAGGCTCTGATTCGGAGACGAGGACTTTGCGAAGGGCCAGGACCGTCTGGTCAACGTTTTCGGATTCGGTGGCAGCGGGCGCCATTTTGGGGGGGGTATCAAGAGAATAGAAAAGGGAAATGGAAAGGAGCGAAAAGGGAAGGGAATGGAATAATGAGGGGTGGATATGAAAAAGTTGGAGGAAGATCTTATCATATCAATTTTTAGAGTCAAAGTGGGGTTCAGGGCAAGTGGCGGGGCTGCGACGATTCGGTTTGTCTTGATCCGCGCCACTAGTTAAGTACTTCTCTTAGTGCCTACAGGTATTAAAATGCTGTTTGCTATCAATCATAAAATATGCCTTTATGCCTTCATGCCTTCCTAAAGGTTCATACCTTTTGAATCGCCGCCTCTGTATCTTCTCCACCCTTGTACCCAGATCTTGGTTAACACAAGAAAATAGTAACACGTGAAGACTGGACCTTGATGTTTTTGAATTTGCCGTCCTATGAGGATTTGTTATAAGTATGCATTTTGTTATAAGTATGCATTTTAGATAGCGAATCAAGAAAACACCTGGGCAGGCTACTGCAATGTTATTAATGATCTGATCCTATTTTCACAACGCACTGTATTGTTAGCCACCCAGTCCAAATTCCCGTCGTCAGTATAAAGCTTCATAGCCCAGCCTTTGCATGTACCACTCTTCACACTTGCTATTAACTTAGGAAATCAATCTTAGAGCGCAAAGATGTAGTATACCTACCGCTCCGGGATCCTTTCTTTAGAAAAATGCACAAGGGTTTCGATTAGTTGCGTGTCTTGGAGTAGGCCGAGACTACCACCTTGTTTATTCCGAAGGGAAACATCGGTGCTTGCACTTGAAAAAGAGCATCTTATTTGATTCAACAAAATGAAGCTTGAGATTTAAATTACAGAGAACAGTACTCTGACCTTTGGCAATGGTATAATAGTTACTAGACACGATTGAATTCGCTAGGGGACCCGGTTTACAACTTTCAAATAATCGCCAAATACGGGTGTAGATTTCAAGTAATTTCAAATACACACACCTCTAAATAGGTCTAAAAAATCAAATTTGTGTTTATCTTGACGGATCTGAGCATTACACCACCTTTACCTGCGCCGGGGTCTACGAATGAGTGAGCTCATTGTCCGATATCTGAGTAACCTGGTTCATGTCAAATGCATTGGGTGACCGCAATATTTTGGCTCATCAAGATATAGTTATCATGGGATGGACTTTAAAGAACTTGAAGCTGTTGAGGTGTGGTTACCACAGTTAGGGCATCAACATCGCAGTGGAGTGCCTTCCATGTCCACGGGTCTAGATAACCTCGCTCTCCCCTCGCTCTCCCTCGTCCACCACTTCCCAGAACTTCTCTTCTTCATGTAGCACTGGCAGGCGAAAAAAAGTGGATACTCGAGCTTTACCCACGATACCTGAGATAAAATCGCCGGGAGGTACGGTGGATCACCCCCTGCTGGCAGAATACGCTGATAGTATGGTACTTCCTTCTCCACGGAGCGGGAAGAATACCCTGGTATATTGAAACATCCGAGCATACTAGTATACAGCCTTGAGCTACCTTCGAGTTGTCATTATTGAATCCAACTTCCAATGTCTTGCTATGATACTATACACCTGCAAACATATCAGTCGATACATAGTACTTGAACTAGTAGTAGAAAAAAAAAAAGTGAACTGGGCAAGTATGAACTATGCTTGGTATCTTTTCAGATGGCGTCTTATATGCAAGATGTCGGGGCATTCTCACCTTTGGTCGAGATGCTTTCCAAAGTTTGAGATTTAGACAGAAGTGATGGTTTCAGAAATCCACCAACTCAACAAACGAGTGATCCACGGAGGCAATCTTCTGAACGAGGCCATTGTGATAAAGGAAAACTTCAAAAAGACAAGTAAGAAGCACTACGCCTTTCAGACCTTGTACGCTCTCGAACCCGACGAAGCACTTTATTCATGAACATGCATAACTAAACAAAATAAGAAGACATAATTCACGACCACAAACTACAAGTTGAACATTTATCACACCATTGTAGTCCACTGCCTACATCAATCCAGCGTAAGTCTGACCATCCTCTTCGAGCTCCTCATCCTCATGCAGATAATCCTTCAGTTTATCCATCTCGCCCTCCTTCTTCTTCCCCTCCCCCGAGTCTTTATGGTAATCTTCCTGGCTATCGCGATCTTCATGATGATCCTTCATTGTCTCTTCGGTCTGCTTCCCCATGTGGTGATGGAGAATTCGGTCGAAGAAGCCCTCGTGCTCATGGGGCGGAGGGGCTTTGGACTCTGCAAATAGTTAGTATTTGGCTGAATCTAATGAAGAGGCAGACCAATCTTGTGGGATCAGTGACTCACGGTCGGACATATTGTCTGCTGTGCTCACTTGGTATTTGTGTCGAAAGATGGAGGACTCAAAAGTTTATAGTTATTATTTCGGTAGTATTTTGTGATTGTTTCCAAAAGGGGGTTGCAGCTTCCACAGCGGTTCCCTTTAAATAGCCGTGGAAAATAATGGAATGGCTATGTCATTCAGAGGCTTTATATTGGACAATGGGGATGTGGCGAGGCGACTCTATTGTCATAGGCTACCGAGCTGGTGAGCGCATCATCGACCATATCTTGTCGACGTGGGGTTCGGGAACGATGAAAGTTAATTATGGACTCGGAGTGTGCTCTCATGCGTTGATAGTAGTATATTGAAAGATGATTCGCATGCCCAAACATTATCTTAGTTGGAGGGCTTTATATCTAGTAAAGGTTCTGAGATGACGAAGGCAGATTTTGGGAGTTATTTTCCATGTGTGGCAACTTGAGGGACTTGAACGTTTTGAATACACCAGTGGGCTCTAGGGCTATATACGGTGTTCTCATTACCGAAATGGATGAAGCCTACCTAGTAACTTGCATATATCCAAAGGCAGGTCTAGAGTCAAAAACCTTCTAAGCAAAAACTTGTTAAGCAAATGTAGAGAGTACAATGAAGTTCTGCTCGGCCTGCTAATGTTTAGGATAGTCGAGATCCACCACACATGAACAAGACTTGTTAGATTTGGAGGATATGAGTTGAGTGTTTTGAATGAATCAGATTTTGATCAAAGGAAAAAAAGGAATTCGCAATAAATATGTACATAATACATCGAGAGCACGATCATTTGGTCTTGATGTGCTTGAGCTTCCTGTTCTCGTAAAGGAAGTTGTTGGCGTAGGCCTTGGGGATGAAGCGGCGCTCATTAGGCTCCTGGACGAAGTACTCGTATCCCTGCTTCTGGGCAAAGGCAATGGCATCCTCCTTGGACTTGAACTTGATGTTGGTGCCCTGCATGCCGTCGGCGGACGACTGCCATCCCATCAGCGGGTTCTCCCAGCGGTGACCCCTCTGCAGAATATCCCAGTCCATACGCCAGTGGTGAGAGTGCCAAGTACCGGATTGAGAAGCGGGCTTCGCGGGGCGGTAGATGCTATACGGATTGTTAGCTTGTGGGCTATGTATGGCTGAGTCGGCCCATTGAGAGGATTACGTACCGAACAGTGCGGGCCTGGAGATCGGTAGGAGCGCCGGAGAGAACAGCGGCGGGCAGAGTGGTGCCGGGCTCACTGCCATCCATCACGCGCTTGGGCACGGGTGAGTATTGTCTGCGTAGAAGAAATACGGTGGTTAGTCAAGGGTTTTGCGCGCTCGGAGCTGGGCTCGGGCTCAGGCTCGGGATCAATGGCGAAGAAACGTACGAGGTACCGTGATCGATAGTAGCCTCATAATCGGGCTGGTGACGAGCCAGAGCCTGGGTGGGAGTCTGCTTGTTGATCAAGATGTTGCCGTGCTTGGTGGTGGTGGGAGCATCGCTGGTCTTGACCTGGTCGGAAGGACCGGAGACGAAACGGGCATTGACAGGGGAGGCCAGACGAGTCGCACCGAGGCGAACGGCGCCACCAACTCGAAGGAGCGACATAGTAGACGGAGGGATGAAGGAGTGGGGATTGGAGGGTGAACAACGCAGTGGTGCCGTATGGATTCACCTTCGTCGAAGTTCCCTCCATACGGCACCATCCGAAATGGGTTTAGCGTGGCTTGGCGACAAGGCCATCCCGACTTCCCGAGTAACTCACGCTTCTCTCCCTCCTGCATCATCAGTCGTTTCCCGGTTCCTTTCACTTTGCGAATCGCCGTACGTTCCCTCCCGACCTTATTCCGACATTCTCTACCGCGAGCTGCGTTCATTGCGACCAAATTTCTGACCTCTTCCAGTCCCGACAAGATGAGCTTCATTGCCCGCCGTGGTCTTTCGACCCTGATCCCTCCTAAGGTACGACCACCTTAAATTGAAGTCTAGAATGACTATCGCCGAAAGGATTCATAATGCTAACATATTACATAGATCGCCTCTCCCAACGTGAGTTTGCCGAATACCCTCGCCTACATGAACGCTCTTGATCGCGCCCCTCCCTGGCCCCGTCCCTTCCCGAAGGCTTTTTCGTGTCGTCTCGAAACATCATATACCGCCCACGCACGCTTGAACAATCGCTAACATATACATAACTTCAAGGCCATCGGTGCTGCCCAGGATGCTGCCCGCATGGAGCGTGTTGTGAACTTCTACGCTGGTCTCCCCCGCGGTCCTGCTCCCCAGGTCAAGGCCACCGGTCTCATCGGTCGCTACAAGGCCCGCTACTTCGACCAGAACTCCGGTGTCCGTAAGTATTGACGAGTCAAACCTTGAAAACGACCTGCAGACAGATATTGATTTTCATCAGCCATCGTTCACGCCATCGCCGGTATCCTGATCCTCGGCTACAGCATGGAGTACTACTTCCACCTCCGTGAGTCCCGTCTCTATTTCTGGATTATGTATGATATCGACCAGCGAGTTCTAACTGAGCAATATTCAAGGCCACCACAAGAACCACCCCCACTAAATTACTGATTTCCTTTGATTCATTGGAAGGGGAGGGTTGATTTGATATGTACATACTGCATCCTCTGACCCAGAGCTAGGCAGTGTAGGAATTAGAGAGCCATTTTGGAATCTCACTATGTCTCATTATTTTACTCTGCGGATCAACTGGACATTCACCAACGTAGTCTTAGGTTTGAGGGGGGTACATCTATTATTCTTTCTCATTCTGTCTCGGGAGGAGACCTCCGCACTAACTCCTCATCACACCACACCCAGTAAACCAGTTCAACCAGAGGGTTTGGCTCAACATTCACTAGAATAAATCATTCACTAGTAATTTCTACTATTTCTAGAAGTACAGCAAATGCCTAGAATATACAGCTACTACTATTACATCGACTGCACTCTTTACTGCGCGAGACCTCTCAACTTTCCCGGCTCTCACGCTAACCGAAAACAGCCAACCCTCAGCTTCAAACCCGACAGCCATCGAACAACGAAGCAACTCTCCACCATCTTCAACCCCCCCCCTCTACACACTCCCGTCTCCTCCCCCCCCCCTCCCTCCTCTCCTCTCCCTCCGACCATACCCTTTTGTCCCCCTCCTGAATCTGGGACATCAGGCGGTTTTCCTCTCGCGCCTTTCGATTCCGCCCGGTCAAACTCCGAAACACAACATCCCCCCGACGGTTCTCAGCTCCTGGAGGTTGGTCGCCCAACTTCCATTTTCCTGGTTGTGAAATCCCGATCTTCTAGGGTGCAACCAGTCGAGCGAGTAGTTCAACTGTGGCGATCCTCGAAACCTGACCATAGGTACGATACCTGAATACCGGCGTCCTCCTCATCCTCATACTATGCAAGCGTGACTGGCGGCCGCCTGCTCGTCTCCACAGCATCTCCATCCCCCCCTATCCTTCAAGCGCTTTTACTAACTCATGGCGCATTGTGTGCTCTCGACAGACCCAAATATTGTTATGGCAGAGCAGAACAGCCGCGATGTGGTAGATCAGACCCTGTCGGGCGGCGAGCCTTCGCCTTCCGACGTCCCTGCAAGCACCACCGACAAACCGACTCCCCACGGGGACGTGGGAGAAATTCAACATATCGCGACCAGTTCAAATGCACAATCTTCGACAGACCCGCACTACAACGACGAAACGAGACAGACGCCTGTATCGCATAACGCGAGTACTGGAGCTGATAAGGAAACTGGGAGTCCTTCGATGGTGGGTCTTGCTGCTGAAGCCTGGGTAGGACATCTGCTAAACTAGCTACAGGATTCTTCCAAGCAAAGCATCGGGTTGGTTGCATCACGCGCTCTTGAAATGAATGGGCTAGCCTCAGTATCGGATGGTGGGGATGACACAGCCTCACAAGGTGGTTCAGAATCGGACGCTAGTCGAACAGACGGCAGACATCACGAGCGAACTGGATCGGTTAAGAAGCCTTCTACGTTCAAGCCTGTGTCTTTCGCCAAGTTCGCTGTGCCCAAAGCGCCTGGGACTGCGGCACCACCAAAGGTTCCAGAGAAAGGTATGAGTGACTGCCGGACTGCGATATTGGGTCAGATATCTAACGAATCCACTAGTGCCATCGACTTCGACCACTCCTCTGGGCACACCTCAACTGAGCTCTCGGCCACGGTTGGTCGCAAAGGCAACTTCTGGAAACTCCGTTTTGAAGCAAGGTTCAAGCAGCACGAATTCGGGCGGTTCTGGACCAGATCCAAACCAAGTTTGGAACAAAAACCGACGTACGTTCCAACGCCAAACTAACATTGAGAGTTTAGAACTGACGTTTATCTCTTGTTCAGCCGTTCAGCCGACCCCCGCGAAGCACTTGACCGACGAAGAGCTGAAGCAGCAATATGGAATTCACATGACATCTCGTATCCAGGAAGACGGCGGTGGTACTACGGAAGCGAAGTGGGCCGATATTGATGATGACGAGGACGATTGGGCCCCTGAGACGATTGAGTGGACGGATGGAACAAAGGTCACTCTCACCCACACCGACCCGGTACCTGCACCTGAGCATGCCCAGGGAGAGCTGCCGCAGCCGCCACCACCGCTTGAGGCAGCAGAAACGAAAGAACCAATCAAGATCGCAGCGCCGAAGCCCACGACATCTATTGGACCGAATCCAACTGTACTTAGGCTTGGGGCAAACGCTGAACGACAAGCTAAGGCCGCCATCATATCCTCAAAGGGCGCAAATGATAGAGCTCCGTCTGGATCTACAAGTCCTGCACCTCCGGTCAAATCACCATGGGCATCCTTGCCTCCTGTCGAGAGAGTATCACCAGTAAACGCGTCGGGTCACCCTCCACCTCCGCGCGCCCCTCCTCACTATCCGCATCGCGATGAAGCTCGTCATGCGCCTTATCCGCCTCAAGAGATCGCAGCCGATGATTTTAATCGTCAATGGCGAGAATCTGCGCCCGGTGCGCCACGCGAGCTGTACAACTCACGTTCCGGTCGTTATGAACCAGTATCGGACAACCGACGGCCATCCTGGCGAAATGAGCCTCCCCCAGGGGGCTCTCGGGGTCCGGCGGTCCTACAACGGTCAGGTCATGATCAAGGCGGACCAGCTGAACCTTCTGCGGCTTTCCAGACTCACCGGCATCATCAAGAAGGTGGAGGAGGGATGGGCTGGAATCGTCGTCGAACCTCCTCTAATGTTAGTGGCGGAAGTGGAGGATTTGGACGTCGCATGTCTTTCGGCCGCACAGATGGACCTCCAAGGCACTTTGAAGCTCGAAGGGGCTCTCAGACCAATGGGATGGTTGATCCTGCATTGATCGACCGCGAACAAATACATCATCATGCACCAGCTCATCAGCACGGTAGCTCGGCTATTGCCTCACCTCCACCTCCGACTGCTGCTGAACTCGCGTCGACCGAGCACCAGCCAGCTCCACCTACCGCTCCTGCGGCACCTGAAGAAGATCCTTTGGTAATGCAAGCACGGGTGATGAAGGAGACTATCCGCCTAGCCAAGCAGCGACGGGAAGAGCAAGAGGAGAAAGAGAAGCTTGCGAGGGAAGAGAGAATCCGGCAGAAGTTGGCGTCTCTACCTCCCGCTCCCGAAAAGCCGCAACGCAAAGAGAATGTTGAAAGTCGCAAACCTCAGGCTCCGCCTACTCCTGCTGCAGCTTCTGCAGTTATGCACTCCCCTCCAAAGCCCCCGGTCCCAGAGCCTACTGGCGCGCCAAAGCAATATGGCATGATGAAAGTCCATCATCCAGATACGGTAAAGAAACTTGTCGCGGCCAATGAAAGAGACCGTGCTTCCGAGAAACATACGGATAAGCCTGCTTCCTCTCACTTGCGCCAAGCTCCTTCTCCTCGTGAGGCGAAACGGGAACCTGTACATGCTCCCGAGCCGAAGCAACAACCCCAGCAGCAACAATCCGCTCAGTCTCCTTCGCAAGAAACGAACGTGGATGAGCAGAGTGGCCAGTGGCGTGGTAATCTCAATGTGTCTGGTTCATATCCATCGTGGTCAGCTAATTCTAAGCTTGCATCCACCTCACCTTCTGTGAAGAACCCATGGAAGCCTTTGAGCAGCGACAGAACTCTCGGTAATGGTATCTTTGACCAACCTCTTGGTGGGTTCCCCTCGCGGGAGCTTCCATTGCGGAGCCAGTTGGCCTTGGATCAACCTGCGATACCTCCCCAGGCGTTACCTGGAGCCCAGGATGTGTCGGTGATTGCTTCGCTGCCATCTCCTGAGACCAGGATCGCGGGCTATGATCCATTGAGTCCCATCGGTCGTCCCGGACCCATCGGACCGCCATTGCCCCGCAACCCCAGTGCCCTTGGTGCATGGGGCAACTTCCACAATGTCGCATCTCACAGAGAAGCCGAAGAATCCGAACAGAAACGACAGGAGTTTAACGCCAACCGCAGCCAGCCTAGTACAGCAGTCAATTTTAAGGAGACCTGGAAGCAAGTGCGAAGTGGAGAAGAAGCTGGTCAACGACATGTGATGGGCGGAGGCGTGAATCAAGCCCACCAGAGCCTGCCTGTCAATCCGTTGACGGGTCTGGATGCTCCAGTGGATGGTCTCCCTTTTTCGGAAACCCATGCCCGCCCTCTTGTCAGTGTTCCTACGAGGAGCTCACGTTTCTTCCCACCCGGACCTGAACAACAGAAGAAGACCATGACAACGACGACGACGGTGATCGAGAAGTACGAATATGAACGAAGCCCGTCGCCGCCACCACCGGAGGAGTCGAGCCATCCAGTTTATTTCGGCGGCTCTGGCCGGCCTTTGGTCCATCTGCCTACTCCCAAGCCTGTGGTGAAGCTCCCTCCTAAGGCTACCGCAGCACCTCCACCCCCGCGGCCCCCACCAACGTTTGCCTCTATGGCAGCTGCACCCCCACGGGGAGCCCCGGCACCCTCGAATAAGATTTCATGGCAAGAAAAGATCAATACTCTTTTTGGCAAGAAAACGCCCCCCGGCAACGAAGAGCTCTTTAGCTGTAACATCCGCCACTAAGGAACCTCTCGATGTACAACTCCCATCAACTGCGGCCGTCTCGGTCTCTGTGTCATTCCCTACCAAAATGGTTGATACGCGAGGGGGAGATGGGGACTTGGCTGTTCGACAAGTTGAAGAACAAGACGAGATCTTTGAAGATCGTGAACCGGGCTCTCAGCCCCCTGTTCGAGTCCCGAATATGGCCCCAGCTGCAGCCTGGGCTGCCGCTCAACCTCCGCCCCCGACTCGCCAGCGTGGCAAGCTTATGAAGCCAATTCAGAGTCGCAGCGTTGAACCCTACATAGTCGGACTCGGCGAAAAGGATACATCTGGAAACCTACGTGTCTTGATTCGATTCCCTGGGGCTCTAGCTTCCAAAATCTGCAGTCTACCCAAGAAGATCTCGGCATCGCGTCCTCGCGCCTCTCCACCGGTGAAATCTCGAAAGGGCCCAAGGCCTCGTGACGCTTCTGGTAACGCCGTCCCAGGAACATCTTCAACTCCACGACACTCGTCACAAAAGGCTACGTGGGGACCTCGAGCAGGCAGTAGCTCGCGGTAAGGTTGATATCTCGCTTTCTTCGGGGTCTTTATTGTCTTGGCAGATGCCTATGTATTTCGACTTGTCGCACACGTCGTGACCCTGTTACAACAGTGATTGTTTGTATTCTCCGGGCAACTATCACATCCTAGGCACTTGTGACTCGGTGGCTATCTGTGAATCCGCTGTGTCACCTTTCATGCCTTTAATACACTCCATACCTACTCGCTCTACCTCTCCCTCGCTCGACGTCCATCCTCCTCCCTATCTTCCTCTCTTCCCCGCCACACTCAAACACCCCTTCTTCTCTCTCCCTCCTCCTTTCCTCCCCCTTCCTCTCCTCCCTCATTCTGGTTTTCTGCGTTGTATCTTTTTCGTGGTTTCCTTGTTTGACTTGCCTCTTCGGTCCACATGGTGGGCCCGGGGGAGCCTTACGACTGCGCGACTGAATTTGCTTTTCGATTCCAATGTCCTGCTACCCTGCTAGCATGGCCAACCGGCTGGTCCAGCATGAGCGCCAAATACCGGCCTCTCAGGTCGGAACCTCCGCCATGTCAAATGTACTGTTTGTGCCTTTTTACTAGTACTTCTCACAAGCTTCTACCACTACCAATGGCAAACATACCCTTTTCCTTACGAAGGAAATGGCGAGTGTCATGGACGGGCCTGTTTTCAAGTCAATACATACTAGCCGTGTCAAATTTATTATCAAGTCATTCCTACTTGAAAGTTCCTCTTGGATAGGTTCTTGGTAATAGTAAATTTGTCGGTATTTTGTAGAAATCTCGGGTCGTTCTCACCTGGTCGAGCTTCAAGTTTATATGGTTGTAGACCGGGGTAGGGAGGTCATGTAAACAAGAACCCATCTGTAAACTTTCAGTATCGTATTGGGCTAGTTCAACGGAAATCTTCAAGTTCTCTGACGACAATTGCCTGTCCTCTTTACCCAAGAGGAGATTCAGAAGTCCGACAAAGGGCTACTAACTAACTAGTAACTACGCACTAGTAAATACTGTTTGCCCAGACCTCTCATAGGGTTACTGCTACTGGTAACTAGCCTCAGTCTCATATAGAAATATCAAGTCGCCAATTTCTACAGGCCCGAGTAATCTTCGTCGAATATCAAAATCAAAGTCTTGGAAACCAGTTCTTTTAGAACAAAGGGGAAAACATGATGTACACGAAAGAAAAAGAGGTATCAATCAAAAACCGAAGTAATTCCATCCATAAACACCGCACCACGGGAAAAACAAGTTTTCCAAACGCCATAAAAAAAGCCCTTGCGCCGCCGCCGCATCATTATTAGAAATTCCGAACAGCTTCCCCAGTACCCGTTCTGGCCATAAACCCTGGAAAAAGACGAGTTGTGTGGAAGAGAACAAAATGTAGACATCTGACTGCATCCATCACCAGTTCCAGGTCCGACTGGAGGCAGTAAATACCGGCGGCTTCCATTGTAAGCGGGCAGGATCGATCTTGCGCGCGCCCTTCACCTTCTCCTTTTCGAGTCGCTTGTTGTGCTCGTCAAGAACATAGTCCGTCAGAACGATGACCCAGTTTCCCTTCTGTGGAAGGTGTTAGCATTATGTCTTTCTTGCGGTCCTCATGGACTAGTAAAGGGAACGGAGAAACATACATGATAACGAAGCATATTGAAAACAACGAGTGTTTCGTGAACATCTTTCTCCGTCATGGCAGTTATAACAGCCAACTCGTTCTCACTCATAGCTTCTCGATTCGGCTCCGTTAATAACTCGACAAGTGTCTCACGCCAGTACTGTCGATAACCGAGCAGACCCAAATCACTCAGTGGCTTCTCGGGAGAGCCGAGCTTTCCTTCGCGCTTGCTGAGCTCGTAGCTGAATGAGATGAGCAGGCGGCCGAATCCACGACGCTGGTACTGTGGCAGTGTCAAGATACAGGCGAGATTGTATCCCTCGGCGGAATCCTTCTCCTTAGAGAAATATCCGACAAGATGGCAGCCTGTCTCGTCACGGGTGCACATGCAGTAGAACAGGAAAGGATCGACATCATAGTAAAGAGTCTTGTGGTCGAGAAAGAGCTTGCTGAGCAGACAAAGGTTCCGACACCAAGTCCGCTGACGACGACCATCAACCTCGAAGAAAGAGATATTCTCGTCGCGGTAGATTTCATTGCCCGGGGGTGAGTCAGGGTGCATTTGGCGCGGTGGCGCTCAAAAGCACGCTGATTGTCGAAGTAACTTAGACAGAACTCGTCGATGTAAACCAAGTCGACATCTGAGTAGGAATCCGGGTATGGGGAGAAATACCACGGTTCGACGTCGAACTTGCCCATTTGAAGACGAGTCAAGTTTCGCACTCGGTGAATCTCTGTTGGATTCTGGGTCATACTACCGCTGGTACGGAGGCGTTCGATCTCTTCTTCGCGGGTGATTACTTCGCCCGACACGGTCTTGACTTCCTCCTCTTCGGGAGTCTTTTCGTCTTGGGCATCTGCCATTTCCACGTCTTCGAAATCCACGACCTTGGGCGTGCCAGCTGCAGAAGCTGCCTCGGCTCCGAACGAGTCGCCGGGCGTTGAGACATCGAGGTTCTCTTTACCGCCTGCTTTTGATGGTCGTGAGGCCTTGCCTACATTGACGTTCTTACCGCCCAACGCGTCGGGGGTGCTGGAGACCTCGCGGCTATCACCAGCTCGTTGTTGCTTGGGGTTCTTGCTAGGTGCCGCTTTGTTGGAGGCGCTGGCTTTCTTCTTGTCTGCTTTTTCGGGCTGGGGCCACTCGACCTCTTGTGTGAGGTCGATTCGAGTAGATGCAACCCATTCTGAGATACTGCGTTAGTATTCGGGTGTTTCATTCATTCCGCACATAGTTGTGCAGCTGAATTGAGGGCTAGCATACCATCCAGACGCTTATTGAAGTCGACATAGTGCACGCTGGTCACATCGGTTAGCATGATTGATTCTTTGATATCATATAGGCAAGAATATCAACATACTAAAAAGAAGGGCCATCCTTGCGCTGTCTGATTGAGAGAATCTCCGCCTTGCGTAGTTCTCCATCCTATAGAGTCGAAGGTCAGTATGATATCACGTGATGCATACCAGAATCTGCGGTTGTTGCAACGGACCTTCTGCACCATGGCCTTCACACCGATCCTATGACCCGGATTAGTAAATGCGACCGATAAAAACCGACTGGAATAGTCGGATCATATGTGTCAATAAATTCTGGCCGATCTGGGACTCACCTGATAGTGTTGAGGGTTGCGAGGCCCTTCTCGACGGGGTCGGGCGTCCCCGTCGCCTCGCCGTGGGAGTCTCGGACGCCCATGATGGTCAACTGCGCGCAGAACCGGGGCACCGAGGCTTTGAGATGAGACTGATGGATTTGATGCGATGCGCGATGGGGGAGATCAAGTTGCGCGGTGAAGGCGGAAAGGCAGAGGCATGCGGCAGATTGAGGCAATTCGGCTTACCGCCCACAGTTTCCGGATCAGCAACGATGCGACGTCAGTATAAAGGGAGATTTACCACCCCTGTGAACAAGAGTGTCCAGTTCGAGATTTGTTATATTTTAATGTTCAGCGAGCGCCACTTTTTGTTTATTGAGTAAATCGAAACATGTTCCTAAGCATATTTTGACCATTTCACAGTTTGCCTCTACTAGTAGTATAATATGCTGGACAATATCTTCAAATGGTTTTTCATTTACCATGCAAATAAAAAAAGACCTTTCCTAATGATACAATAAACGAAGCGGGTAATGGGTCATGACCTTCCAGAAAATAACTCGGTGAAAAAGAAAATATTCAACGTAGCCAACAGCTTAATGCCATCCATTAACCGTGGCAGTCCCGGCGACAAGCTCATCAAGTTCGTCCTTCCGGCTCTTATACAATTCCTGTGCCTCACGCTCGCGACGCATGATTGACGAAACTTCCTCTCGCAGCTTCTCGAGACGACTCGACATGGCCGCCTCCTCAGAGATCTGTAAGGTGCGGAAGGCGTCCAAATCATCTTGAACCTTGGGCAATGCCGCATTGGCTTCCACGATCTTGGAGCGCAGTGTCTTTGCACGGTTTTGATATCCACCGTAGTGCAAGGATAGCTTTTTCTCCAGCTTGTTGCCTCGTTCAGCGGTTGCAAGGAGAGATTCTTGGACATTATCAAAGGCACCGATCATGCGCTGTTCCTCCTTGAATGCATCTTGCTCCTCCTCATCGACGTAGTTGTCTAGGCCAGGGAGACCTTGGGCGCGGGTGTTTGTCCAAACGCCGTCAAACTGTTCTTGCCAGTTCTCTTGTTGTTGCTGTGCTTCGGCGGCGACTTCGGTGGCGATGGCTGCCCGAGCGGCCTCCAGGAACTTATCATCAACACGGCCCAGCTTGGGCGCCTTGCCCTCCACCTTGGCACCTGGAACCGGGTACCTCCGTGAATCATGGGCGATGATAAGTGCAGCCTCCTTGGCGATGAGACCCTCGATTGGGTCAGCGACATGGGAGGCCCGCTCCATCAAGGCGCTGAGATCGAGGACAGCAGGTCGAGGGAGACCTCGTTGGTATGCTTGTGATTGGCGCTTGAACTCTGCTTGAGCGGCCTTCTCACGAGCCTCGCGGTCTCGACGATCACGCTCAGCTGCGTCTTCTTCGCTGAACTCGACAGCAGCCGCAGGCTCGGCGGTCTCCGAAGGCAACTCCTCCAGTTCCCATTCAGTTTCCTTAGGCTTCGGAAGCGAGGCGAGCTTGCTGCGCATTTGTTGGCGCATGAAGTTCTCGTGAGTTCTGATATCACGGGGGGGTACTTCCAACAGGCTGGGCTCCTTCCCGGTTAAGAGCGAAGTGGTCTCGAGGCGTCCGGAGCGGCGTGGCACCAGGCCCAATACCACCCTGTAGAGGAGTTGCACCCACGCCGTTGGCCTGGCGGAATGGTGTGGCCATCGGGTTGGGAGTAACAATATCTTGTCGTCGAGGAGCAATTCCATCAAAGCCAGTGGAAGAGCCACCCTCGTGAAGGGGAGTGTTGTCACCTCCAAGCAGAGACGATTGTGTTTCGGTCAACGCCCGAATGTTCTTAATTTCATTGGCGATGTGATCTTCTTCGGGGGCGGCTCGGGGTGTTCTGATGGGAGTTCCTCCAACAATAGCTCCGTAGTTTCCAATAAGACCCCGAGTCATCTCTTCATCGGCACTCATCCGGCTAGCCTTGTCTCCGGCCATGCCCATCTTGATAATATCCTCCATCTCGCCTTCGCTGACTTGCGGCGCCGGCAGATTCAGACCCCGTCGCTTGCTGCTTTGCTCTGCTTCACGGATCTTCTGCATTTGGCCGGCACGCGCGGCGGCAGCTGAAGCAGCCGAAGTGCTGTTCTTGTCGCTCTTTTGTTTTTTGCGCTCATTATCCTCGTCTTGGTCTCCCTTTCGCTTATTGGCCAGTTGCTGCTTTCGAGGGTCGAACATCTCTCGCTGGCGTTCATTGGTGGCTTGCTCCTCGATGGTATCGTAGAATCCAGGTGCGGCCGGCTTCTCGAATGGGATATCGGCGTTGTAATCCATCTGACCCGGCTTACGGGTAACCACCTTGACGTTAATTCCGGCATGCTTGAGCTCACGGCGCTTCTGCAACACAGCCAAACGGCGCGACTCTTCCAGCTGGCGTTCACGGGCCTTGCGCTTCGCCTTTTTACCCTGTGTATTGGCGAGACGCGCACGAGCTTCGCTAAGCATCTCTTTCTCATCCTCGTCCAGATCGATAGTGTCAGGGCGGGCGGGCTTCGATTCGGGGTCGGGATCCAGCTCGCCGGGGCGTAGACGTCGGACGTCATCGGCGCTGGGAGCAGCGGACTCTCCTCCTTCAGGTCCTCCCAATCCCAAATCATCATTCTCACGGGCTTCCGCCTCGTCCAGTAGTTTTTGATACCGTTCGAGACATTGTGTGGCGGTCCGACCGACGATAGGGGCGATAGTGCGCCATTGCGTGGGCATCAATTTGGCCAGGTGCAAAAGCTTCTCGTCTTCCTCACGCGACCATTCGACCTTGCGAATACCCGGGTCCAACCATTCTATCCAGCGCGCTTTGCATTGCTTCGGGGTCTTTCGAGCGAGAAGCGAAGAAACTCGGGCCCATTGGTTGAGACCATATTTCGATACCTGTAATCAGTCAGCATTTCCACCATCCCAAAAAGGTATGTAAAAGCTCGATATCGCGTTTTGAAGGCAACTTACGGCCGCACGAAGGACTTCGTCCTCGATATTGGTCCTAAAAGTGTGTTAGTCGCGACCAGTCAAAAGATGGAGGTTTGACAGAAAACTCACCAGACACCTCCCTTGACGACAGGCATGTCGCACGATCAAAGCAGAACGCTTTTGTCCAACCTTTAAGTGCTATGGATCGAATTGCAAGCTGCCGGGGGTAAGGTAAAGGCGAGGTCCCCGGAGAGTCGCGCGCGCAAGTGATGGAGCTGGGTGTGATCTTTGAATCTGCGGCGCAGAAGTTCCAAGTCGCTTCACCGCCCGCTTGGCCGCCCCCGCGTTAGTCAGCAGATTTCCGGACTTTCTGGTTTTTTTTTGGTTCGTTCGGCCTGCAAAAAAAAAGAGAGAAGGGAAAGAGAGACTCCACCAACCAACCATGTCGACCAAGTTGGATGCTCCGCAGCAGTTTAAGCAGCCTTCCCGTAAGGGTAAGAAGGCCTGGCGCAAGAATGTTGATGTCACAGAGGTCCAGGAGGGACTGCGCCTCTTGAAAGATGAAGAGATCAAAGGGTATGTCGATTGACTCCATAAATATTCAACTCCGAAATAATTGAGGCTCCTGCTGATCCTTTTCTTTCTTCTGTCTTTTTCAGTGGCCTTGTGTCTGAGAAGCATTCTGATGAACTGTTTACCATCGATACCACTGGCACTGAGCATGTACGAAATGCCATCGCAAAGAAGCACAAGCCGCTCAAGGCCGACGAAATCATCGCCCAGCGTTCTGCTATCCCAGCAATCGACTCCCGCAAGCGCGGCAATTCCAACGTCACTGACGGTGTCATTGAACAAAAGACCAAGAAGCACCGCAAGGACTGGGTGACCAAGAAGGAAATGCTGCGTTTGAAGCAGTCGGCGAGGGATGCGGATTTCACCAGCAAGAAGGGCAACAACCAACTTTACGACCCCTGGGCGGAGGAGGGCGAAGCCGATCTCTCTGTCGCTGTCGAAGACCCCCAATTTAACTTCCTGCCTAAGCCTAAGGCCAAGGTCGCCCCGGAGACCATGAAGCACGCTCCCATCTCGCTCGCCGCCAATGGCAAGGCCATCCCCGCGGTGCGCATGCCCCATGCGGGAACCAGTTACAACCCCGTGTTCGAGCAGTGGGATCAGCTACTTGAGGAACACGGCAAGGAGGCAGTCGAGGCAGAGAAGCTGCGTCTGGAAGAGGAGCGGAAGGAGCAAGAAAAGCAGCGTTTAATCGAAGAGGCCCAGGGTGACGATGGCCAGATCAAGTCTGACGATGAGAGCGCATGGGAAGGCTTTGAGAGTGAATATGAGAAGCCCGAGTGGCTGAACAAGAAGCGTCCTGAGAGAAAGTCCAAGACTCAGCGCAACAAGGCAACACGACGAAAGGAGGCCGAGAGGCTAGCGAAGTGGGAGGCTCAGAAGATCAAGAAAGATGCTCAGCTCGCCCGCGTGGAGGAGCTCACAGAACTCGCCAAGCAAAAAGAACTCGACGGCACAAATGATTCGGATGCTGACGATGGAGAGGAGGGTGATGAGACCAAGTTGCGCCGAAAGCCCTTTGGCGGCAAGAATGCGTACGTACCCTCTATTAATCTTCTTGAACCCACTTTGGGGCCATCACTAACTCTTTTCACAGTCCCCCTGAGAAGCGCTTGGAACTGGTCCTCCCCGATGAACTCCAGGACTCTCTCCGCCTGCTCAAGCCCGAGGGTAACCTCTTGGACGACCGCTTCCGTACATTGATCGTGCAAGGCAAGCTTGAGTCTCGCAAGCCTATAACGCAAGCTCGCAAGGCAAAGAGAGAGGTTACGGAGAAGTGGATGTCCAAGGATTTCAAGATCCCTGGTATCGAGTACTAGTAAAACTTGTTTATCTGGCTTTGATGACTTTCAAAATGGCGTACCGGGATGATTGGACATACATCATGGGCAAATATCAGCGCTCTACATATTGTTTCTGGGATAAAGTAGAGATTTATAGTTTCAAAATTTGATCAGACCATCTATTCTTGCACTGCAACCTCGTAGACAAGTAACCCACAAGGTTTTACTAGTATTCAATAGTGGTTCCTATATCTCCTCTCCTATAGTTGATACGAAATTTCTTTATCGGGAAGGCGGTATACTGCTATCAGCGCGCCACTTTTTTGTCGGCAGAAAAAGTGAACGGCTGTTCGTCTCCTCCAAGTCGACTCCAACTTTTTGCGCAATGCAATAACTTCTCGACAGAATTGTTACCCTCGGAATGGACACAGCAAGTCTTTCCAGCAACTGGAAAAAGTTACAGGCAACGCTTAAGAAAGAAAAAGCCTCAACATCGGCACCGGCCTCCAAATCGGCCCCGAAACGCAAGGTTTCTGATCGCGAGTCCGGAGATGGCACCGTGAAGAGAACAAAGTTCACCCAGAAAGACCAGTCAAAATTCAGAGACACAAAACCACTCTTCAAGAGGAAAAGAATGGCGGACGGAGCAGAGACTGATTCGTCCTCGACAACTTTGCGGAGGAAGTCTAGCGCCGCCGTTTTGCCTAAGGTTGCGACGGAAACACTCAGATCGAAAGAGAATGAGGGCCTTTCCGCAACGTACGTTTTACCTCGACGATTGTTTCTGCCTCATCATCCATATGAACTTTACTGATTTCATTCCCATAGCGCTGAAATAGGAAAATATGTCGCCATGGATTGCGAAATGGTAGGCGTTGGACCGAACCCCGACAACGACTCCGTCCTTGCCCGAGTCAGTATCGTCAACTTCAACGGCGACCAGATCTACGACTCCTACGTCCGGCCTAAAGAGATGGTTACAGACTGGCGAACACACGTCAGCGGCATTGCACCGAAGCACATGGTGGAAGCGCGAAACCTCGAAACAGTTCAGAAAGAGGTATACGGGATCATGGAAGGACGGATTCTCATCGGTCACGCCGTGAGCAACGATCTCGATGCCTTGATGTTTGCTCACCCGAAGCGTGATATTCGTGATACAAGCAAGCATGCGGAATACCGGAAAATTGCCGGCGGTGGATCACCCCGACTGAAGATTCTTGCGGAGCATTTCCTTGGTATAAAGATTCAGGAAGGGGCGCATTCTAGTGTGGAGGATGCTCGGGCGACAATGGCTTTGTATAGAAGAGAGAAGGACGCGTTTGAGCGGGAGCATTTGAAGAAGTGGCCGATCCGGGCGACGGCCGAAAACAGAGAGAAGGTGGATGGGCAGAAGAAGAAAAAGAAGAAGAAGTCGACCAAGAAGAAGCGCTGATCTTCTTTATTCTTTGATGTCGGCCTGCTGAGTCGAGGTGAGACGAGACGAGGCTCTATTGTATCTAAATACCTTCGAGATGCACATGTATACCCCAATTCGCATCCAGTTCAAGAATTGCATCAGAATTTGACATATATGACCAGTATTCTAGAGTATAAATGTATAAACTCTGACATTTTCTAAGTCGAAAATCAAGAATTGAGCAACATGTGTGTTGAGGTAGTCTAATGCATACTACACTAAAAATGCAGCGATTGTCCGCTCTCCGCCAAATTCCACTTAACGCGCAACGCGACGCGCTCTTCGACCACACAAAGAACTGCACAACTCAATACCCTCGCAACACACCCAAAGCAAGTCAATTAGACCTTGACTCCGGTAAATTGCCAGGCTACTGCATCTTGCAAAGTATCTATACCACACACACCGACTACATAGCTCCGTGGAGTGATCACATCTCGCAACGCCATGCCCGACATGTATGCCTTCCAATCGGCCTCAAAGCCAGGCGCACAGTCAGAAGAAGGTTCTCCTGCCGCGACAGTTACACCCAATATTCTCCCTTGCCGCATTCACCATGATGGGCCCATCGAGCCCGCCGGGCGATTTTGGGCGCCGAAAACAGATGAGAAAGGTACAATTCTGCAGTTCCAGCCACATCAACCCGCGCATGGATAAACAAGTCGCAAATTGACTAATTAAATAAATGATCCAGACAACATTGAAACCGCACATTATCGGGGCCGCAGACTACGTGGCCGGCGCGTCGCCGTTCCAGATGGGTATCAAGGTGCGCAGACGCATCTCTAAACACTCGTATGGGTATTTCAACTTACAGATTACTATTGCAGGCATCATCGCAACACCGACAGAGCGCACTCTTCCTTCCTCGCAAACAGTCGACAAAAGTGAAGACGTGATCGAAGTTCAACCTGAGGAATCGGTCAAGATCCTCGAGACACAAGGTACCTTTGAAGATATGATGGTCTGGGGGCATGAGCATTTGCCTGCGGCGGACGATGTCTACGTTAAGGGTGTGGAGGAATGGGTGCGATTTGCTGAGACGGTATGTTCACTTTTCCCTCCATTTGGGGGTTTGCTCTGACTTTTCTAAGATGCATGGTGTCCCTTCTGCTGGTGATGGGAAGGATGCTTCAAAGTAAAGATTCATGATGACAGCGGTCAGAATAATAATATATCGCCCGGGCCAGAATTTAATGCATTAACCTTCAAGTTGGAATTTAAGATCCAAATTTACCACTACTAGTACCTCCAGCACCTACTAGTAGTATCATCTAGCCAATCAAGTTACAGAGAAATACGATAGCATCAAAATATTATAAGATAAAGATTTGGAAAGGAATCCATTGAAACACTCGCATAGCGAGTCACGCCAACCGGGGTATCATGTTATCACCGAACCTAACAGTACCAGCCTGTTCCACACCCAACCCGCAAGTATCGGATCGAAAAATAAAAACGGACACAATGTCAATCAAAAGCATGCTCATAATAAGTTATGCGTGAGCATCCAGCGCCCCAAACGCCAACATCTGCATTCCACCAAAGATGAAAACCTAATGCCAAATAAAGTCGTAAATCATAACTATCCCACTTGTACCATTCAAGCCGCTGCCACTGGGGTCTTGCGGGCAGCCGCTTGATCATTTGGGTCTATGGACCCGATGACGGGGGATGAGGTGGTATCGACGGCACTATCGAATGGCGAGAACAGATTCCCGCCACCGAATAGCGACGATGGCTGGCTGTCGTCGGTTGAAAAGAGAGAGCCGCCACCTCGACCACCGATGGCGTGTTGCATCTGCTCTTTGATCCGAACGTATCTGTACTTGGTCTTGGAAGTGATGAGGGTATGTTCAGCGATGGGTTTGGGCGCGGATCGCGCAATAGCTGCCATGACGGAATCTCGTTCTTCGTCAGAATCGACGGGCCCGCTAGTTTCCAAGTCTTCCTGCAGCGGGGCATTGGCGTCGATGGCAGCCTCTGTAGATAAGAACAAAACACATTAGTCCAAACATTCTCTATGTTCGAAGACGGGAGAAGTGAGGGGAACCACATACTCTGCTGTCGAGCCTGGTTCTTTTTCTGATATTGCTGGAGCAGCATATCATACGGTAAAGACCGACCCGGCACGGCACGCTTCGCGCCCATCGAGTGACTCTTACAAGTCAACGAGCGCGCGCACTGAGCACCATTAGGCAATGTGACACCGCACTGCTTCTCGACATCAACAGGCCCCTTAGGCTTAGCCGTCTTCGCCTTGGGTTCATCCTTCTTCTTTTTCTTGGGCTTGGTATCATCTTCATCCGCCTTGCGCTTCTTTCCCTTTTTCGTCCCATCTTCGGTGCCCTTGACAGCACTCTTCTTCGCACTCTTCTGGCCTTTCATCGAATCCTCCGGCCCATCCTTCTCGTCGATATCACCCACATCGCCGGCCTTAGCCCGATTCGCCGCATCGCGTGCCTCTTTCTTCTTGCGCGCTTTCTCCTGCTTTGCCTTCAGGCAGCCACGAATGTGCTCCGGTGCACTCAGACTTGAGCGCCGGGCGCTTGCAGTGTTTGCAAATGACCGTCTCCAGCAAGTCATGATCGCGCGGTTTGCCCGTCGGGAAAGAAGCGGCGATCTTATCATCCAATTTGGGCAGTGGGGAGGAAGTAGGCGAGGTATCGAGGGGTCCATCCTTGCTATCTGGAGGAAGAAACAGAACCATAGGTAAGCTGCTGTCAATCCCAATTGAAAACTAGCCATACAGCTAGTTTCCTCTGCAAAAAGTGAACGTACCATCTGCCTTCTTCTTCGTCGAACCCTTAGATGTCTTCTTTACCTTCATCTTGCCGGGTTTGGTATCCTTCTCCGTAAACTTATAGCCCGACGCCTCGACCAAATTGCCCGAGGCTATTTAGACAGAGAGGAACGTTAGCATCTCATCCTTCAATCTCGCTGGCCCGGATCAGGCGCGGTTCATGGTCACGCTTTCTCATCAAAGGGTTGCGGTGGCGGGCCTACCTCGACTGGAGTCGCCGTTGGTCGTCATGATGAGCGCAAGTGCTGAAATTGCCCTGGCGCAGCGATTCTCTCTCTCTGACACTCTCTGTAAAATTCTTGTCGTGCCAGGGTGGTTGTTGGGGTGGTTGTTCACTTCGATCTCCGTCGTTCACGGGCTGGGGCTCCGCATTTGGGACTTGGTCACGTGTTGTCCGCTATCCATCGTCATAGTAAAGAGTCGCTGGGATTCGTTTTAGCATGTACTTTGAACATCTACTTGACTGAATCAAGATCGAAATATCTCGGAAGTTTTCTCGTATTTTACGCAGCGGCTCTCTAATATACATTCAAGTTTGACTCTCATTGGATTTTTGGGAAGAATGATTCAAGTCGCAGCGAAATGCAGTTACCCTGACCGGTTCATAGTGGAGTATATGTATCTACCTAATATGTATAGTACTAGAAGTAATTGGCAGATGTTCAAGTTCAAGTTGGTGGGTAGTACTCGCCTGCTCGTTCATATTTAAGAAGTTACTGTATCAGTAAATTCAATACTATCGTACTATCGAGTACTCCCCTGCCCAGGTGGTCTTTGTGTATGATATCAAGGCACATCTATGACAAATGGCGACGGAACATTCACTGAGTCAGGTGTTTAGTAACTATACGACACCCATCGCAAACTCCAGGAACATCTTGAATTCCGCAAGAACTTGAACCCATAAATCGAAAATGCCGCAAACACTGGAGACCATTCCGCCTGAGCTTGTGCTCCTAATAAATCGCCATTTATCGCCAGTTGATGCTTGCTGTTTGGCTTTATGCAGCCACTACTTTCTGTCCCTTTGCCCTTCATTCAACCATTTCGACCCTTCAGGTAAATCATGGTCTGGTATTCGAACAGAGGATAAGTACAAGGAAGATCGGCGAATCGACATACTAACCAGGCTCGCGCGCTATTTGCCGCAATACTAACTCTGTTACGGCTGCTTGCGACTTCACCTTTGGCAACATGTCGAACTCCCCTCGCCCTCTTTCAGACTCTGGAATTGCTTTGACCTGATTCCAGGTCCCGGCAGATGCTGTAATACTCTACTTATGCCAACTGACACATGCCAGTACCTCACCTACTCTTATCACCGACTGCATTTTGTCCCTGTTCATCTTGGGATGAGGAGATTCTAATTCGGTCCATCGTTTGGTATTCCCGCATCCTCGCTATGGTATATATTCACGAGGAAGGAGCGATGGTCGATGTTTAAGAGGCAGGAACACGTCTGCCTTGTCCTTGTCCAACACTTCCAGGAAGGGAGAGGGGAGAAGGAAAGCAATTGGAGAGAGGTAACATGGGTGTATAAGGAACCCTCCCAATGTTTGCAGCATGATTCATGATGGGTCATGAAGGAGAGAAGAATCCCATCATATATTGAGTATATCAGGATTGAGAAGACTAGGGAAACCTAAAGCAACGTCCATTAATATCGTACATTAACTCACTCTGCCAATCACTCATGCCGAACAAAGCACAAACTACTATTAGTCCCGCCAAATCCAAAACTATTCGTCAAAACCACATCAATCTTCCTCGACTGGGCCTCATTAGCCGCATAGTTGCAGTCAAACCCATTCGCCAATCGATCCAGGTTGATAGTGGGCGGCATGACATTCTATAAGAACAACGTCAGTTCAATCAACCCGCCAAGCCAAGCCCAGCTTGATAGCTAACAAGGATAGAGCCAACTCACATTTTGAATAGCAAGCACACTAAAAGCAGCCTCGATAGCGCCCGCACCACCGAGAAGATGCCCCACAGCACCTTTGGTACTGCTAATATTCACATCCTCCGCCTTCTGCTTACCTCCTGGACCTAGGAGGAGCGACTTGATAGCAGCATTCTCAGCAGAATCGCCCAAAATTGTAGAAGTCGCATGTGCGTTGACGTAATCCACCGCAGAGGGCGGGAGTTGGGCTTGTTTCAGCGCCTTCTTCATCGCCATGTATGCGCCTTCGCCATTTTCTTTGGGTGCTGTCATGTGGTGCGAGTCGCTGGAGCAGCCGTAGCCTTTGATTTCGGCGTAGATTCTTGCACCGCGGGAGCGAGCGTGTTCGAGCTCTTCAAGAATGAGCACGGCAGCACCCTCGCCAACGACGAAACCTTTACGGTCTGCATCGAAGGGTCTGGATGCTTTTTCTGGATTATCATTGAAGTCAGTTGCGAGACTTCGGGCCCGGGCGAATCCTCCGATGGCGAGAGGGTGGATGCATGATTCAGCGCCTCCGGCTACCATCACGTCTGCGTCTCCGCAGGCGATGAAGCGGGCTGCGTCGCCGACGGAGTGTGCGCCGGTGGTACAAGCTGTTGTTGCGGAATGATTTGGGCCCTGGAAGGTGTATTAGTTATACTTCCGGTTATTCCTATGCAAGGGAAGAGGTGTGTGTTTGTACCATGAAACCATATTTCATAGATATATGACCGGCGCCCAGGTTGATCAACAGCTTAGGGACGAAGAGGGGGTTGACTTTTTTGTAACCCTTTAAGAGCGAGCTAGTTAGTATGAAAAACGAATAAACCACCAGAGCGATGCAGCAGACTGGACACGAAGACTTACCCCTTTGTCATATGCAACGACAGTATTATACATCTCATCGAAATTACCGATTCCGGACCCTAGACAAACGCCCTGCACAAGCTATTAGTCAGACGTAGTCCCTGGAGACTCGAGGCCAATTCAAAGCTGCTAAGCCGGGCCACATAAAATACATACCGTCGCTTCTCGCTGCTCAAGGGGCTCCGGCTTCCAGCCAGCATCTTCCAAGGCTTCTTCCGTAGCAGCCATGGCGTATTGCGCGAAAAGAGCCATCTTGCGCTCCTCCTAGTTAAATCGGGGTTAATAGATACTCAATGAAAAGTAGTAGCAAATTTGAGAAATAGAAAACATACTCCTCGACTCAACCACTCCTCTGCCATCCACCCGCCATCCTTGCGACGGCCCTTGGGTACGACAGCGGCAATCTGACAAGGGACTTCCTTGAAGCGCTCATCGCGATCATTAACATTGACGATGCCGCAGTGGCCGTCCAGCAATCGCTTCCATGTTCGGCGCAGACCTGTATCCAAAAGTGTTAGCTCCAGCCGAGAGAATTGCAGCTAGTCTTATCGTCTGTGTTGTAGTAGAGCTCCGACCTCCTCCCCTCCCCAGTTTTTGATAGGATAGACCCCCCCCTCCCCCGACATGCTGTCATTGGTTGACAAGACCTTCCCCATCTGGCCAAGTGGAGACGCGGGCAGTTTTTTTTTGCGGCGAAAAGTCCGGGGATGCGGTGTCGGTGGAAGGGTAGTCCATGCCGGTGCCATCTGTGCCAGTAGCAGTACATAGGATGCTAGGCCGGCCCGATAGAGGTGTAGAAAGCGGAGAAGAGAGGGTGAAGCTGTGATGCAATGAAGTGTAGAACTCACCAACACCAAGCGGAGTCACCGCACCCAAGCCTGTCACGACAACACGGCGCATGGCAGCAATTGCGATGTACAGGGGTAGCAGTCGCAATTTCTACGAAGTAGATATGAAGCAGTGCAATGCAGAGCAGTCACCAGTGTGAAGAGAAGTCCAAGAAGGGAAAGTCTGAACGATAAGACACAAGTGGACTGGGAGAGAATGGCGGATCCCAGCGGGGCACATCTGTTGGTCCTTCCCTTTCGATACCCGCGCCGATTAGGAAGTTGACTGGAGAATTTGGAGACAATGACCACTTTATATTCCCAGCTTTCCCTTCCTTTTGCTTCTCCAGATTAACTCTGACTTTATCTCACAATGCCCGCTTGGAAGTCTCTTGTCGGCCTGTTGGCGCTAACCGGTGGTGCTGTCTCTTGCGCCCACCACGGCGATACCGAGGTCGTCCCCGAACATGAGCGTGAGGAGTTGCTGAAGAAGTGGGATCAGGAGGTATGTGTGGCAATCAATTGATTTAATTCGGTTGCAACTCATTCTAACGAACTTCTAGTGGTCCTTCTCTGGCATTGCCAGCTTCGCCCACCTCAACCCAGTCAAGTGCTTGATCGAGCCAAGCGAGAACTATGATATCGCCATTATTGGCGCCCCCTTCGACACGGCCGTCAGCTACCGACCTGGTACGTTATATAACATACCCCCTACAGCTTGAGCTTCCTACTTCACAATAGCCAACTAATCTTTGTAACAGGCGCCCGCTTCGGACCCCGCGCCATCCGCGCCGCCAGCGCCCGCCAAATGTCCGGAACAAGCTTCAACACCCGCGCCGGCATCAACCCCTACAAGTCCTGGGCTAAGATCACCGACTGCGGCGACATCCCCATCACCCCCTTCGACAACGGTCTCGCCGAGCGCCAGATGTACGAAGCCTTCCTGGAGCTCGGCTCGCGCAAGACCGTCAACGTCGCGCCCAAGGGTGGCGATAGCATCGGCACCGGCCACCCCAAGCTCGTCACTCTGGGCGGCGATCACAGCGTTGCTCTCCCTGCTCTGCGCGCGCTGTATCAGATCTACCAGAAGCCAATCACGGTTCTGCATTTCGACGCGCATCTTGATACCTGGAACCCAGTCCGATACTCTTCGTACTGGCAGAGCGAGCAGACTCAGTTCAACCACGGCAGTTTCTTCCACAAGGCTAGTCGGGAGGGTCTGATTTCGAACACGACTTCTGCGCACGCGGGTCTGCGTACGCGGTTGACTGGTGTTGATGCAGGCGATTATACGAACCCGGGTCCGGAGCAGGGCTTTATTCGCATTCATGCTGATGATATTGACGAGCTTGGTCCTATGGGTGTTGTTGAGACTATTATTGCTCGCACTGGTCTTGATCCTGAGCAGCCGGTTTATCTCTCTGTTGATATTGATGTTTTGGACCCGTCTACCGCGCCTGGAACTGGTACCCCCGAGCCGGGTGGCTGGACTACCCGCGAGTTCATTCGTATCTTGCGTGGACTGGAGAAGCTGAACCTTGTTGGTGCGGATATTGTCGAGGTCTCGCCTGCTTATGATAACAAGGGTGAGACAACTGCTCTTGCGGCGGCGCAGGTTGCTTTTGAGATTATTACCAGTATGGTTAAGTCGGGTGTTAAGGAGGATCTTGGTGGTTGGTATGGTCGTCTGTATGATGGTGGGGCTGAGGCTGAGGCTCAGTCTGCCGAGGAGGTTACTCGCGATGAGCTGTGAGTTCCAAGTGTGAGTTGTATAAGTTGCATATGAGATGAGACAAATGATTGTAGCATGATAGTATAAAAGGATGAATGAATGCCCAAATGATATTCCATGTCCCGATCGCGAGGAAAGAGTAATTTAAAGGTGGTAGCTGCTTTTGTTTCCATATAGACAAGTTTACAACCGTTCCTATGGTTTGACAGACCTGGAGTTCAAGGCATTGATTGACCTGGACCTCCTTTGATCATTCAACTATTGGTTCGCCTCAAGTGTAAGTTCAATATCGACCGCTCCAGTCTACAAGTATTCAGATCATCAAAGAACTTGTCAATTGTGAGTCCTGTCTGCAACGTTCTAAGATCCAGGCTGATTTTGCTTTGCTCTCCAATCGAATCATAAAAAAGAAGGTGCATAAGCAGAGTAGAGCAGAGCAAGCAAAGCAGGCAGAGCAGAATAGAACAGGTGATAGTAAATAGGGACAAATGCTTGTATCTTGAAAGAAAAAAATGGAAACATCGAGCAGAGAAATGGAGAGAACCGCATGCAGGGAACATCGGATTCGAGGTAAAACAGCAAGCTCAAACTTGATGGTATTGTCCAAATAGGCGTGATCGATAAAGATAAAAGGATAAGACGAAGCGTGGAAGAAGTAAAGGGGGATGGGGAATGATGGAGGAGAAAGAGGAAGAGGAAGAGGAGGGGGAGTGACAAGGACGGAAATAATCAGCCAAAACAATCACGACGCCCTGACGTCCAACGCCGAGAGACGATGAAAACGGGTGGAAACAGGAGGGAAATGCGGGATCGTGGAGGGCAGGAGAGTGGTAGTACTAGAGGTGATGTCGCTGGAGTTCGTGAAGGAGAGGATGTTGAGTTATTGTTAAAACGGGGTGTTGTGGAAAGTGTCAAATCGAGATCCGCAGAGAGACAGGTGGAAGCGGACGGGCGAAGCTGAAGCGAAAACAAAAGATAACATGGAGGATAAGGACAAACTGGGCCGACTCAGTTCCCAGGGACCATCGGAAGCAACAATGACCGGGGAAGGGAGGAGGATCTTGCATGTGCATGCGGTGCAGATCGACCTGAAGCTCATCTTGAACACTCCAGCAAACCAAGCTTCAAACGACCTTAGGCAACAGAACCACTGGCTAGTGGATAGCCGGTGGATCATGATCGTGGAGAAGAGAACTCGGAAAACACGGACAGTGCGAAATGCTATCAGGTTGCAGCGCTAGCTCAATAAACAAAAGTCCCGCTCCTCTTTCCCTTGTTGCGTGTGGATATCCCAGTCAAAATCGAACCGGCCAAGCTTGCCTCCCCAAATAAAGAAAAAAAAACAGGTAGGTTTCATTCCGTCGTATCTGAAAGTTCGGCTCGGTTGGTTGACCCCTGTCACATCGCGCTCAAAGACAATGGGGTAGTCGACCAACCTACCGATAAAAAAGGCGATCGAGGTGCGCGATCACAGCAGACGGCATCCGCGTGACTTCTTCTTAGGTGCGGGCTCGAGGGCGGCAACGATGGCCTGTCGGAAAAACGGAGCAAGTTAGCGGTGTACAGCTGGCGGGGAGTGGAAATCGACCAAGACGTATCGGGCGCAAGTCCGAGCTTTGGCGCCTAGGGGGTGACGGGAACGTGGTAACAAAAAAAAAGAAAAGAGGAAATGGGCAAAGAAAAAGGAAAAAAAAAACCAGGGGGGGCATGGAAATGGGAATGCTCAAGGTGAGGAAATAACCGGGAATAGTGTAAAAGATCACCACGTACCTCGTCAAAGACATCCTTCAGCTTGTACTGCGTCAGAGCAGAACACTCGACGTACTTGACGGCACCGAGCTCCTTGGCCATGCGATCACCATCCTCCTTACGGATAGGCTGCATCTTCTGACGGGCGAGCTTGTCGCGGACGTTGGGGTCATCGCGCAAATCGGTCTGGGTACCGACGATCAGGCAGGGGACGCCGGGGCAGTGGTGGTGGACTTCGGGGAACCACTTCTCGCGGACGTTTTCGAAGGAGGCGGGGGAGGTCACGGAGAAGCAGACGAGGAAAACGTCGGTCTGGGGGTAGGACAGCGGGCGCAGACGATCGTAATCTTCCTGACCGGCGGTGTCGAAGAGGCCAAGGGTATAGGGTTCGTCACCGATCCTGGAGGAGGGTCAGCGAGATCTTTGCTGGAGGACCGAGAGAACCGAGAGGCTCTCTCGGTCTGGTGATGGTGATGGTGATGGTGATGCCGCCGCGGCCACCACTGCGGCCACCACTCGTTCCAGGAGATCGGACAAACTTACATCACAGTCACAGCGTAGTTGTCAAAGACGGTGGGAACATATTCCGAAGGGAACTTGTTGGTTGTGTAGGAGATGAGCAGACAGGTCTTTCCGACAGCACCGTCCCCCACTACGACACATCTGCAGTCGGGGTTAGCCAGGGAGAAGGGGGTTCCGGCAGGGAGAGAGAGAAGCGCACTTGATGGTAGCGACAACCATGATTCCGACAGGTAGGTTGGAGTTAGAGAGATGGAGGGAGTGGTAGAGGAGAAAAGGGTTGTGGGAGACAAAAAGGGAGGAGGAGCTGTAGTCTGGATTGAATGGGGCAGAGAGTGGTCTAGACGTACTATTTGGTACCGCCGGTTACCATACAGGAGCGCAGAGCAGAGCAGTACTTGGTATTTTATACTGTATTCTATCTTTTATATAGGTACGGAGTATTTAGGGTAGGTATACTAATTAATATTCAAGTCAATATTAACCTAATAACCATAACAACTATCTCTAGCACCTACTAGTAGGTACTACTACGTTATTATTTATTTCCCTCATGTATGTACTAACACTAGTTAACCCATCCCAACCGCGTCGGCTAAGCGCTGTGATCCACTCGATCTTCTAGACTTCACAGGTAACCACATTACTAGCACTGTAGTTATCTATTGCGTACTCCGTACTGATCTCTTTGATGTATTAATGGGCCGTTCCAAGCTAGTTCCCTCACCCCTATATTTCATCGCCGTTTCACCCCGGACTCGATGGAGTCCGGGATTGGGTCCCATCCCACCCCCGTTTAGCTTTTGACTTCTGGTGGATTTAGAATTACACGACCCTCAGGCCCTCCTGCCGTAGAATGAGTACCCACTCTCTTCATTACAAGTATCTGCGGAGTAGTAGCACCGTCCAGGAAACTCAGGAGCTACTAGCTCTTATTCTCTTCCCGGCCCCCTATACACTCACAACCCTGGAAATACTCTCCTCGACCCCTATGCAATTCCCTTGGCATGCACCCTGATCTCCCACGCGCCTGATCTTTTTCATATCTTCGTACCTAGGTAGGTACCCACCGTCTACTCCGAGAAGCATCTGGTATACCTGCATGCAGCGATTATGCAGGTACCTGCAGCGCCAATTCAGAGCTTGCTGGCTGACATCGAGCTTATCTTGTGAGTTGGCGAGGTTAAGTTGGGTTGGGGCGGGAGAGGCGGTCTAAGCGGTACTTTATCTGCATAACTCATGTTTACTCCCTGGACATATTGATGATGAGGATGAGGATGGTTACTGGTACAAGGAAACAATTGAAATTTATGTTATAGTATTATCATACACGTCCACTTCACTTCACGGCGAAACAAATCGATAAAATTACCATTACTAGCATAACGTCCAAGGCCGCCCAGAGTTATTCAAATTAGTCCTGCATACTATACCCCGTACCAGGTAACCCACAGGGTTCCGCCTCAATTGAATCAATGGGCAAGTGCGTTAAACCCAAATCTAATATTAGGCAACGATACATGCCCAGCGCTGCGCTGTGCACGAAGAACATTCAATGCCGCCACCTTCAAGTCGAGTCTAGGCACAACTCAATTCTAAAAAAAAAGCTAACTAGCACTAGCATACTGTACACACAGCAAACCCAGAGCGGACTTGGATCCAGCAAAGGAAGTACACATGTACGTGCAGGGTACAATAGTACCAGCATGTATGGACTTTCCCATACTATTGGATCTATCCATCTGGAAAGGTGGCTGATACTTATCTACTACACGACCCCTTACCCCGTTCCTACTTACAAAAGCACACCTCTTCCTACTTTCAAATGGAGTGCCAGTAAAGATGAGCTGTCTTTTGCTCTGTTTGAATTTGCTTGGTATTATAAACTTGAAGTCACGCGCACTCTGCACGCTACCCGACGACGGAACATTGCAGTCTCGGCCCGGCTAGACCGTACTTCCTATAGTCCTAGTACTGCCATCTCCTCGGAGATCGGATCTGAATACTAGTAGTTACCTGGGTGGTAGACAAGAGATATCTTACCGATAGGGTTATCGCCACCTAGGGTATCCTAGGGTACTACCGTACTACTAGTAAATAGTGTAGAGTTATTCCGCTGGTCCCATTCCAAGCTTCAATTTTCCAACCATTTTCCCTTGTCCCCCCTTTCGCGGAATAAAACACCGCGGAGAAAAAGAAAAGAAAACGAAGGGGGGCAATGCCTCACAAGGTCCTACTCGGTGATTAGCACTGTCACTCAAAATTACTCGTGTCTGTGCTGGCCCGAGCACGAATCCGAGTCGTGGCGTGATTTTCTTTTACCCGCTGTACCCCTGGCCTGTCTGAGTGCTGAACGGGGCGAGCTTGATTTGAATGGACTAAGTAATAATCAGGAAGGTTTAAAAAGACTCAGAGCGAGGCTGGTGACTATAGTATATCCATAGATAGCAGTGCGTACCTAGGTACTAAAAGTAACCTGCCGTGACCGCGTGAACCCTGACTGACAGTGAATGAGATATTCATCGCTTTGATCAAATTCAAGTCTATCGAAGACGAAGCATTCTTGCTAGTACCTAAATGCGTCTACAAAAAGCCCGGGGAAAAAAGAAAACAACAAAGGTATCGATCAGATCAAGAATGAAAGCTAGACCAACAACGCCAGATGCAATGGAATGGACAAATGGGGCTTAGTTCTAGCCCATAAAGCCCCAGGTATAGATTGAAAAAAAAATGTACCCGACTCGCTCTCGTCCCAAAAACAATGAAAACGCCGGCTTGCTGATCTGTGAGATGCAAATAGAGAAAAAAGAAAGGAAAAAAAAAGCAAAATATAGAGCTATGGAAACGGGAAGTCGATGGTCGCGAAATTCGATGGTCGTTTAGTCGTTACGTGCGTGTTTCGCTGTGGTGTGCTGTAGTGCAAGTAATGCAGTTGCAGGTATATGGTGCGAAATATCATCAGGTCGAATAAGGCAGGCAAGGTGGGTTGGGCTGGGCTGGGATAGCGCAGCGCTAATCAAGTGCGCTTCGAATGGGAATCTTCCGACTCGGGTTCCGGGTTGACAACAGCCAATGGCGAATCCTCTTCATTCTCGCTCTTCGGACTCATCTTTAAGGAAGAAAAGTTAGTCCTGTTTACCACTCGCGCGTTCTTGATTCCTCTCACGCACGCACTCGTCTTCACGGGACCGATCTCTCACCTTATCCAGCTTATAATTCTCCATAACAAGACTGAGCGGGATAAGCGGTAAAGTAGCAATGATAGCAAGAGTGAGCAGCCGGTTCATAGTCTCCTGATAACTGCGATTGATCGCGATGCGCGTCGGCGAGCCGACGGGATACTCCAACGCCTTGGCGAGACTGCCGAAAATCTCCGCGGCGGCGGATTGGCTTTCGGCGGGTAGGTATTGTAGGAGCTTCGCCGGGATAGAGTGCGTCCAGACTGCGCCGGAGATGGCCGCGCCCACGGCACCGCCTAGTTCCATCGATGTGAGGAACATGGCTGTTGCGGCGGCGACTTCTTGGTGGCTTGCTGAGGCTTGGACGCCGAGTTGGACAGGGACGTTTAGAAGGCCCCCGCCGCAGCCGACAAGAATTTGTGTGAAGAGGACTTGGGCGTGTGAGGCGTTTGCGGTTCGGTAGGTTAGCATCAGGATGAGGCCTGTCATGTAGATTACGCAGCCGATTGTTACGAAGATTCGGTAGCGGCGAGTGTATTTAATCAGGAGGGAGACGCTGAAAGCGGCGATTGTTGAGGTGAAGGCGAATGTTTGCGTGACGCGGCCGGCTGTTGCGACGTCGTAGTTTTGGACAACTTGGAGGTAGGAGTAAAGGTATGGCTGGACGGAGAAGTAAAATGCCACTGTTGATGTTGGTTAGTAAAGGAGATTTATAGAAGGGTGGTTGATGGTAGTGAACATACTGAAGTACCAGAATGCGAGAAAGCAGCCCGCAAGAGCAGTTTTCTGTCTAAGAAGATGCAGAGAAAGTAGAGGTTTGGGCGCGAGCTTCTTGGAAGATTCGTAAAATGGCATGATGACCAGACACACGAGTCCGATTACCATCATCGCAATGATGCTGGGATTCATCCAGCCATTTTTGGCACTGGCTGCCAAAGTCAAAGGCACCAGGATCAGAGTGACCGCAGCGGAGAGCAGACTCAGACCACCGACATCCAGGTCATACCAAGTGCGTCTCACGATAGCAAAAACGCTGCGTCTCCGCTTCTTGCGAGAAGATTTGATCAGGTTCAGTCTGCGGGCCTTGCGCTGGTTCAATAGCAATGAAAGTGCGAGAGGTAAGAAGGCAGCAGGAAGGATGATAGCCCACATGCCATACCCCCATCGCCATGATGTCGTGCGAAGGACAGTTTCTGCAATGGTTGGACCAAGCCAAACGGTGACCAGGAATGGAAATTCGGGAAGAAGAGCCAGAAAAGCACGGTTTAGCAAGTCACTGCTATCGGCGATGAAGACCTGTTGCAAGATCTGCAGACCCGTTGAGCCGGCGGAATAGAAGATTTGGGCGGAGGCGTAGGTCTCGACATTGGTGGAGGAGGCCATTTGCACATAACCCAAGATATAGATCAGAATGCTCACGCAGAAGGCTTCGAAGCGACCGAAGACATCGGCGATCTTTGCCATGGGTGGTTTAATAACGGCTGCAAGTCATATAAAGTTTAGCGGGGAACATGACATGAAGTATCATTTACATTATTTTTGCTGTTTGGCCGATAAGGCCATTGTAGCACTGCATGAAGTGTAAGCTTACCGTTGACTACATTCTGCACCACGAGGACGGTGGAAATCAACGAATGCTGGCTAAATGCGCTCGTCGCATAAGGCACCAAGGACATGACAGTCTGACTCTCGAGAGAAGTGCAAAAGGCCATCAAGAATATACTTTACGCCATGATTAGCGGGGAAAAGTGGAGGGGGGATGATTATCAAAGGCAGGATGCTGCAAGCCACACGAACCTGACGTAGGCAATAATCAACGACCGAGTAGTCCAAGTCATATTGATCGCTTCGATTTTGCGCACTCCTTCTTGCGCCTCGTCTAGCGACGATATCTCACTATCCTCTCCGTCGGTTTGGTAGAGATACTCATCTTGCAATAGACGATCTCGTTCCTGATCTTGCTCCTGAGATCTATGAGTGTCACGGTCACGATCATGCTCCTGTTCAATAGCACCGTAGGACGGGCCGGAGCGAGGATCAAGGAGTGGCATGTTTTGAGTTAGAGGAAGAGGCACCAGTTGCTCTAGTGTAGTATCTTATGTGATCACGAGAAGAAGGGCGAGGTCAAGGCGTCCATCCAGCCGAGGAGGGGTGCAAGAATGAAGAAGACGAAGTGAGTGGGCGATCGTGAAGAATCAGGGAGATCATCGAAAAGAGTTCATGCAACATCTGACTGAGAAGGGTGTCTCAACTAATAAGAGGGGAGGGGGGCAGAAGCGAGGAATTTCAGCTTTGAGTCAACACCGCTTGGGCACCGGCAGGATGCCTGGTGGTCCCCGTCGGGGGCGAGCTGAGCCAGTCAGGTCAGCGCGTACAAGGAAAAGCAAACACGAGTAAGAGCTATGGGCAAATCAGGGCGATGCTCCGCGGGAAAAATCAAATCAAATCAAATCAAATCAAAATTAGGGAATCAAAAGAAAGAAAAAAAGCAAACAAAAGCGGATGGGGCTGCGGCGCTGTTAGGAATAGACTGGCAAGCGCGGTAGACGAGAAAAAGCATGAAGAAAGTGTATGAGGCTATGCTCGAAATAGCAGGTTCTCCAGCAGCCTCCAGTGGTCTTTAGTGGTCTTTAGTAGTCTCCACGAGGTGGGACACTGCCCTTCATAGGTTCAAACGAAGATGAAAATGGGGAATGATGGATAGATCCGCCTGAAGGGAAGTATGTGGCTGTAAGGGGAAATGGGATCGGAATCGAATCAGGTTACGGAGCCCCCAGTGGGCGAGGATAGGTTGTAGGATCGTCGGTCGCACTTATGCAAGAGGATGGGGAATCCCTAGGGAGTGATAGCGCGCGGTCCGAACTCGCATTCCCAGGGAAAGTAGAGTCAGAGAGTGCCAAAGTGTAAGAGAGAGAGAGAGAGAGAGAGAAAGAGAGAAATGCAGTGGAAAATTGGAGTGGGCAAGAAGTGAAGCGAAGCAGCGCCGAACGAGACTAAAGAGAATGAAAAGCTGAAAAAGAGTGGGGAGACGTCAGGCACGGGGTGGTGGGGGGGGAGGAATGACTCGGAGACTCGGAAGTTGGCTGGCGGAGTCAAGTGGAGTGGTGTGATTATTCAAGGAGAAAGTCCGGAGTTGTAGTAGTAGTTACTATATATACTGTGTAGAGTGAAATATGGACCAGTTCCATCAGATATGATTGATCGATAAGATGTTAACCAGGGCCTTGGTTCGTCGGTTCCAAACAAACCTGGGTGGGTCGGAGTAAGCAGGAGTGGTAGAGGGAGAGGGTAGTATTATATCATGTTATATCATATTATGATATAACACATCAATAATATCAGCATATTGACTAGTATTATATTCAAATATACTAGTACTATAGTAGTGCTATAGTTAGTATACTGAGTATCATAATCTTTACTATATTTACTATAACTCACGTGGCAATTCTCCGCCCTCACACACCGTCGTATCACTACCCCTACAATAAGGTCCCAGGTTGCACTCCCGATCATCTGCCCGACCCTGTCCTACTTCTTATTTTGTACGGACTAGATATCCCACTTATACATCGACAGATCCACTTGATCTTCACCCCCGGAGTACATATCCTGCCCTGCGCGTCAACTGCCCTGTGACCATGGCCCGTGCCATCTCCGTGGCGCCCAGGGCGTGATTGACGCCAGTCTTGCGTGCAGCCTGACCCCGGGACGATCATGCACTCCATCTCTTGGCCGAACTAGAACAAAGTACCTAGAATCAAGTAGACTTTAGATAAACCTGGAGAAGGAGGAGGATGAGAAGAGGCTGGAGAATGGAGTAGTTGTAGCACCCTAGGGTACCACTAGTAGATCTACATTCAAGTTTACTTCTTGTGTATGGTATACTGACCAATTAACACTCATAACAGCAGATTAAACTACTCATAACCATACTTTTACCCTGTACCCAACAAGATGACCCCTCTACTCAACAATCAAATGACCAAAATTAACCTCCAACTCACCCCCAACATCCCCTGGTCTTGCCGCATAAACCCCAACCCAACACTCCTTCACCCCTTCTTCCTCAAAGACCCATGTCACCTCCCGAATTGGCGCTTTCGACACCCCCTCAATCAAATAAACCCACAAACTTCCATCCTCCTCCTTGACCATCTCCAGCGTCGCCGCACCCCCACCCGACGGGACAGGAAGCAAGCTCCAATCCGCAAATCGGTCCTTCGCCACTGCACTGAGATGCGGTTTGCCGTGCGTTAACTCGATACCCGCCTTCACCCACTTCTTGTCCCCGTCCGCGGTGTGCAGGACGATGATGAGACCCCCCCTGGTCGTATTTGTGTTGCCAGGGTGCGGTGAAGGCGACGCGGGCTCGTTTGAAAGTCGAGAGCGGGACTGAGCGGTAGAGGATTGGTGCGCTGAAGGAGGAGGTACTTGGAGGTTTGGACCAGATGTCTGTTGAGGAGGGGGCCTTTATGCTGAATTCGGCCGGGGGTGTACCATTTCCTGGGACTTGGGCGGCTGTGTTGGCGAAGTGGAAGTTGGACATGGTGGTGGTGCGGGTGGAGGAAATGGTTATTGTATATGATGTATGCTGTATATACTATATGGAGATTTGTTTAGTATTTGAGGAGAAGGAAGGAAAGGCAGGGTAAGTTGAGGCGAGGGGACGAGATGAGATGAGATTGGGAAGAAGTAGAGATAGTCTGCTACGTCACTAACCCCCCGCAGATTGGCCACTGCAGCCCAGGAAACAAAACCCCCGGCAATTCCGCGAGTCTTTTTCTAGTTGCATCGGATATGCTTGATGTTGGGCTTATTTTCGTCTTGGCGTGATCTGAGGAAATAATTATAGATCCAGTGTATAGTATAGTATTGTAAATCAAAATATTCAATGATTTCATATATACTGCTGTTACTGTTACTGTGTCTATACTCAGCTCATCAGGTGACGATGACATAATGGCTGTCAGCACTACAATCGATAGGGGCTAAGCCCATTTGGACGGGACAACTTGATGTTGATGATCATCATCATGTTTCTTCCCTGACCTGCCTCAGAAATCTAGGCATGGGCTGAAGAAAAGAACCCCCCTCTCATGCCAGTCATGTCTTCTCGTCTCCTACACCCAGATGAGTACGAGCTTGCCTCACGCTCCTCTCTCGACTCCGAGGGAACCTTCAATCTCGACGACGATGACTTCGAATCACAAGTCCCTCCCTCCTCTCGATTCGGAAACCGTCGAACTCCCTGGCTCTCGCGCCTCTTCTCCTCCCTCCCTGGCTACACTCGCGTGAAGACCAACCACAGACCGATCTTCGCGCGCCAATCGCGCCGGACCTATCTTCGCCGCTGCACTCCCCGCCGCCGCTTCTGCTACATCCACGTCGTGTTCCTAATAATCTCCGCCCTCGTGGTGTTAACCTCCATTTTCCGCCCTTCATATACCCACCCACCAACACACTACACAAATCTACAAAAATCCACGCAAAAAAGCACAGCGCCCGGTCGGGGAAACCCTCATGAGCAAAAAGTATTCATCGCAGCGAGTCTATACGACCGGGACGGCGAGCTCGCGCGCGGACAATGGGGTGCGCAATTAATACAATTGATTGAATTTCTTGGCGCGGGAAATGTATACGTGAGCATTTATGAAAATGACAGCGGCGAGGAGGGACGCGCTGCACTGCGCGAACTGGAACAACGCATCTTGTCCGATAAATCAATCGTGTTTGAAGACCATCTAGACTTGAAGACGATACCAACCGTCACGATCCCCGGCGGTGAAACCCGCGTCAAGCGAATTGAATACTTAGCGCAGGTCCGCAACAAAGCACTCAAGCCCTTAACCGAGAATCCGGACATTCGATACGATAAAATCCTCTATCTAAACGACATCCTCTTCGACCCCGTCGATGCGCTCCAGTTACTCTTCTCGACGAACGTCGATGACCACGGTTTCGCGCAGTACCGCGCTGCTTGTGCGGTGGACTTTGATAATCCGTTCAAATTCTACGATACATACGCCACCCGTGATCTGCAGGGGTATAGCATGGGATTGCCTTTCTTCCCATGGTTCTCGACTGCAGGCAATGGCGACAGTCGCAATGACGTCTTGCAAGGTAAAGACGCTGTTCGCGTACGAAGTTGTTGGGGCGGAATGGTCGCCTTTGACGCCAAGTTCTTCCAGCCCTCACCCTCCTCTCCGGAGGTGACTCCTGTGCGCTTCCGCTCCGGGCCTGATCTCTTCTGGGAGGCTTCGGAGTGTTGCCTTATTCATGCGGATATTCAAGACCCCCAGACCGACGTGGAATCAATCACTGATACAGGGGTCTATATGAACCCATATGTGCGTGTTGCATATGATGCTCGCACTCTCCGTTGGCTGGGGGTGACGCGCCGGTTTGAACGGCTATATTCGCACATTCACAATATTGGTAATCACCTTGTGGGCTTGCCGTGGTATAATCCGCGTCGGGATGAAGGGGTTGGTCAGAGTGTGCAAGAGACGGTTTGGGTCTCCGATGCTAGTGTTGAAGGTGGAGGATCCTTCCAGGTGGTGGATCGTACTGCTGGGAATGATGGGTATTGTGGGAGGAGAGGCTTGCAGGTGATTGTTGAGGAGCGTAAACCTGGACAAAAGGGTTACGAGAGTATTCCTGTGCCATCGTGATGACGATGGCCATGGTGGGTGTCATCTCAGCTTATCTTATACCATGTTTCTAATGTTTGCTTTGGCGTTTGTTTAGGGCTCACATTCTCACATATAGAGGCATTACGAATTGCATCAATGTACATTTCATGTATTTCAATTGAACTATAATGGTTACTGTGTACAGTGTACCATATACATTATACATTATCTACACTGTCTACACTGTCTACACTATACCCTGTGTATAGAGTATAGAGTATAGGGTGCACCCAGTCAGGTTGAACGTGCTTGTCTTTAGGAAAGTGCAAATTAGTCGCACCTTCCTCTTGAATGGACCCCAGGCAACACAAACACCATACAAACACTCACACTGCACTCACACTGCACTCACGCTGCAATTGTCAGGCTTGCCCATTCACTGCCAAACCCCCTTCTCTTCTCTTCTTTTCTCTCCCTTCCCGTTCCCTCTCTCCCATCCCTTCTCTCTGCTTTTCAGATCACTCGATCTTCATTCTAAAACCTAGTGTCCTCTTCCATTCGACCTTTGTTTTAAAACACTCCGCCATGGGTGCTCTCATCATCGGTCCGACCACTCCTTTTGGTATACCTCATACGGAGAAGCAAATCGAACTTGTGCATGTTCGGAAGGTCTTGTACAGTGTTCTAACCGAGTGGTCGAAGCAACGTGGCCGCCCTCTGGACGCAAGTATTCATGCTCCAGTCCATCTGCGCCGCCTTGAGCAGGCTCGGTTTGAGCGAGTGAGTCGGGCTTCCGCCTCTGAGGTCGCTCTTAGGATCTATCGCACAGAGTTTGTCAAGTCTATCCAAGAGGAGGGCCTGTGTCAGCTTATCGCTTCCATTGTTCGTATCTTTCCTCATCCTCTCCTCTCCTCTCTCCTCGTCTCACTTACACCTTCGCTTGACCAGGATTTCTCCGACGAGAATTCCTCCGAGGCAGCTTTGGTTGACGGCATCAAGTTCTCCAGCAACACCGGTACCAACCCTGCTGCCGCTGATTTCACTCCCCCGGCCAACCCCAAGGCTAGCACTACCACCCCTGCTAGTGTCCCCACTATGCGTACTGTTCGCTCCCCTCAGGAGTTTTTGGACTCCTTCAAGGCCGTTCATACCCGTGGCTTCAATCTGGGTGGTCAGCGAGTTGCCCCTCGACGTCTTGCCTTCAAGAATGTTCCTGAATGGGCTACATACTCGGACATGTTGTGCCTTGTTCACGGTGGTGCCGTGGATCGCATCTTCCGCGGCGAAGAACATGAGTTCATCGTTCAGTTCTGCGATGAGGAAAGCTGCACCCAGTATCTTGGGGCCTATCCGTCTGGCATCAAGCTTGAAGACGACCACATCATCGAGGTGGTCCGGGCTTCTGGTTCGGACAAGATCACTCCAACGTTCACCAGCCTGATGGAGAGTGAGGCTTCGCGTGTGGTCCGTGTGGCAAATGTTCCCCTCGACAAACCTCTTCAGGATCTGCACGATTTGACTGGCGGCATGGCTGTTGACCATATCTTGTACAATGCTCGCGCCGGTTGTGTATGTAACCTCTTTCCCGGGCTCAACTTCTTTTCAATTGTCGCGCAAGAAGTGAGAATAGTGAACTAACGTCTTTCTAGCCTGGCTCTGCCTACTTTTTCTTCTGCAGCGTTTCCCACGGTAACAAATTCTTCACTAAAATCGACGAGGAACAACCCTGGGACGACTGTGCTCCTGGATTCATGACCGATCCGTACGTATTATCTCAGATCACACTATACAACCCAGTGCAATCCTATGCTGACTTCAAAACGCAGATGCAAGGTCGCCAGTTCCTTCCACAGCAACTCGATCCCTTACCAGATGTCGACTGCCCAGGCCGCCTGATCGACTCGATGTGGACCACTCTTGATCCTAGTCAACGATTTTCTATTCTGCACCACGAGGAATATCGTTCAGTCAACTGGGATCGACAGATTCATGTGGCAGACCTACACGAAATTATGGGTGGATGAAGGATGGGACAACGAATCCCAAGATGTGGCGTGATGGTGCTCTGATCCTCAGAATGTCTCTGGTTTTGAGTTTCGACGATTCGTTTTCTTTTACTGTTCTTTTCCTCTTCCTTTTTTCTCCTCCTTTTTCTCTCTCGGAGTAATATCAGAAGTAGCACCATCTCAACAATGAATTATCCAACCGGACCTATCTTTTATCAATTATTGCAGTCGTGCGATCTACACTAGTGTAGTATTAAGGATGGGCGGAAGCAACCCACTCTTCTTGTAGAGTAGACATTAGGCACTAAATAACTAGTTGGCCACCGGCTCTGGCAGTCCCTTGGTTGCTGACCAATAAGCTAGGCAGGACAAATACTACTAGTACCTAGTAGCATACAAACCATTGTTCTTGTAAGGTAGTATCAGCTTAAAAGACGCAACTCAATAAATAACTTGAATTTCATTTCAACTTGAAAAATACTAGCATTTGCAAGTGAAAATAAGCGGCACACCGCCACAGCCCAAAAGATGTAGTGCTGATGCGATGCTATGCGATGGCTGATGACCTTCGGCAGCGAACCTTCTTTAGATAGCAAGTCATTCATAGCCATTGATTGGTTTGGAGATGCATTTTTTACTTACTTTTTAGATGGTGGGTAGGGGGGGGGTCCAACTAGCCGGGTCTAGTCTGAGTGGACCCATTCGAACCTAATAGTAGGGGTCTTTTCTTGCGATTGGAGGCTTTAGAGTACGGAGGAGCCACTAGCACTCATAATCGGGTTCTCACTGGCTGGTGGGTTTTTGGTTTTTTTACCTAGGTACTTGGACGTTTTTTTCTCTCATCTCGTGCTTACGGGTCGGATTGTTGAGTAGGAGCGGGTCTGTGGATTTCCTGGTTCGGGAATTCCGTGCTTATGGCCGATATTTTGGCGATTTGGTTTGCGGGTTGGATTCGCTGTTTTTCAGTTGAGTCGATTCGGTAGAAGTGGTATGAATATACTGGTAGACTAGTACGGGACTCGGAGGTACTATTAGTACTAGTAGGCTGAGTACTATATTCAAGTTGACCGTTTGCACATTTAAAGCTAAAGCCATTTTTATAGATGCAGGGCCAAAGTAACTTAGTATTGGAATGAAGGTATGGAGTACTTACGCACGTACTAATAAACTTGAAGAACAGTCACTACTACTAGTACTAGTAATTGACATACACTAGTAAACGGCGAAGACCGGTGAAGACAATTCTTCACGGCTCTTTCGTGCCATTTTCCTATATTCGGACGGGGTTTACGAGACTGTCATTGGTTGACTATACGAGCTTGTCAGGGTGCCAGGTGGGTGCGGGTGACATGGGCCATGTGGAAGCGAAGGTAAGATTCTGCAGAAGTGGCTGGGTGGATATGGAGATGAGGCATCGGCTGGAACTTTGGAACCTTGAGTAAGCTTTGCCGAAATTGATGGGATGCCTTATCCGTGAATAGTTGAAGATGGTCAAAGATTACAAGTATTATTGACGTGACGTGGTTAGTGGTTGAAGCTCTTCAGGCGTCGGGTTTTAGGCGGACTGTCGACATTTAAAATAGCTTCAGGATACTACCAACATGTACGATCCCAATGATATTGTAGATGGACTATGCTTAAGTGGGCATCGGGCTTAATGCCCAGGTGTTAATATCATAGAAGTAGTACGTTTATTTTTACCCAGATAGATGCGGCCAAAGTAGTTAATCGTCCGAGTCCTTTAATGGACGACATAAGTCAGTTGCCCATTATCCCAAACGGTACACTGTACATGATTCTCGAAGAACTTCTCGATGGCGATCTCGGGTCCTTAGAAGCTAAGATCGTGGATTCGTAATCTGCTCCACTACCTGTCTCACCCTCCACTGGCTTTACAATTCAATCTGACGCCCAGCAAACGCTAGGTAGTATGCAGGTATAACCCCGTTAGGAAAGTATAGGTAATGGAAATGGAAATGATCCCGTCGGGAATCCATTTTCTATGTAGTAAATAAGAAGTAATATGTGGCTTACCTGAAAATTGATCGAAGGGTATTGTTTTGTGTGTGTTTTTCGGCACTTGAGCGTATCTAGCTAAGTATGCAAGATCTTTTGTATTCCGTACAGCCCTAGTTGCCCCTCGGCATCACATTTTAGTCATCCACTCCTGCAACCTTACTCGAATAGAATGGGCGCAGCGCAAACCCTATTACGGTAGTAATTTCGTAGAGCTCGGATAGTATGACAGAACGTGAAGAATGGCTTCTAGCCGGATTAGTCTCGCAGTGCGAGCTAGTGCGAATACGGTTTTGTCAGCCTTGACCTCGTCGAACTATCGTATTGATCATACTCCGTACTCTGTACTGTACGTATGTAACTAAATAAGTACCAGGGTACTCCGTGCATATGCTTATGCTGAGTGTATTGTACATAAGCCCAGATACAATGGGTACCTCATAAGTTCCCTCGAATTTAGCCTCCAAGCTGTATACTCTGTACTCCGTAGACACACAGGAAGATCAAGCGAATTTGAAGCGTTCCAAGACAATTGATTGCGTTATCCCCGGCACCTCCTTTTGCACCGCCCTTTGCATAGTATTTAGCAAGGTCAAGCATCGAAACGATGGCATAGACAAATTGATTGTTTCCTATCTTCAGTGCCACGCCGACATTTCCCTCTCCCCCCACAATCCTCGAATCCTTCACAGCTAAAATAAGAAACGGCCCGAAATCCCGAAAATCATTGACGTCCACCCTGCGATGATCTCTGGCCCCCTTTCTAACTAGCAGATTAAGCGTGGGGTTCGCAACTCATCGGTGTATGTACTTCGTGCCTTAGTAGTTCGCGATCAGGCTCGCTCGTTATTACTGAACGAGTCAAGAGTCCGCTCTAGAATCCAACTCTAGCACGAAGGGCCAAGGAAGGTCCAAATGCCAATTCCATTCCTTCTCATCTCTTGGCAAGATGAGATATGGAATGATGATTGGACTGCGGCCGCTTAGTGGGGACCTCTTAAGGAATGACACACCAAATTGCTGCGTAATTACTTTTTGTTCCCTCTGGGGGGCCGAACTCAAGACGCTTCTAAGAATGGGAGCGGGATTTGGTCCGGTGCACTATTTTTCAGAAGTGATTTGTGTCTGCACAGCCTGCGCGAGTCAGGCAAGTTCAATATAGATAGAAGGAAGGGGGTTTTGCTTGGCCTTGGAATTTTCTCCTTTCTTAGACGTGGAGGCTGGTTTGGGGTTTGACAGCTTTGTTGAATGACTGGCGATCTTTCTGTTAATTGTAGTTTGTTGGCCTGTCTGTCTTCATCGCACTTACCGACTCTTCGTACGCCATATATGACCTCAGTGTTACGCCACTTGAGCCTTAACAGCCCTTTGCAATGCGTATTTAATACAAACTCCAGCTTGACAAGGCTGCCCATTGGGAGGGCTGTGCTGGCCTGGCTCGAGAACAGGAGGGGTCAGGCTGGGCAAATGCAGAGGATGCGTGATGCAATCGTTTAACGGACGGGACGGACGAAAAAAGGACGAAATAGATTGTAGTAAGCTATGAGAAAATTGGAAAATTGAAAAGATAATAATCTCTTGTATTTGCCATGAGTGTTCATGTAAATGTAGATGTAGATGTAGTAGTATGTGTAAATGTAGATGTGTGCCAAAGTGTGTGAGGAAGACATATGGTCGAAAGGAAGGAATCCAAAATGCCTGCTGCAACGAGAGAAGAAAAATCAAAAAGCCGCCCATGATATGATCATCATGTCATGAGTATAAAAACCGATAGAAAAAGAAAAGCGCCCATGAGGTATCTTGAACATTAGACAAAGCCTCCCTGCCCAAAATACAAAACTCCGAAAATCGATAAAACAAACCAACCACCCATTTGACCAGGAAAGAACAGGTCAAATCGAAACAAGCAAGTAAAAAGAAAATCACGCCTCGGCTGCCATCGCTGCCGCTGCCGCACGTTGTCGTCGCAGGGCTGTCTCTCGATCCTCTCTCATCCAAGGATACCAAACATTTGCCCACTCGATCACTCCAAACCGCGGTGCCCCAGCCTCAGGGCCCAACGCAGCACCTTCACGCAGGAACTCGCCATCGCGCATGCGGCGCTGCTCCCGAAGAGTCGGACACTTCTTCTCCTTGATAAAGCGGTAGAATTTGCACTGGATACCCTGGAAACCACGGCGCTGGCGTGAAGGGAACTGGTGATTAAAGCTCTCGCGAACTTCCTTCCACTCCTGACACAGATCGACTCGGTGGTACCAGATAAAGTACATCTCTTCTTCCTCGTACTTGGGTCGTGGAGGACGCCGACGGTCCGCGGGCCCATTCGTCGACGAACTACTCGAGACAGAGTCGTACCGCTCACGGGGATGGAAAGGGTCCGGCGAAGACGGAGCAGATCCTGTGCGGCCGGATAGAGAGAGCGAAGTCGAGCCTGATTGCGAGCCACCGAAAGATGAGATTCCTGATGGCTTGTAGGGGAAGAACATGTGCTGCTGTTGTGCGTTCACGGCGCCTCCGCTCACGCTGCTGTGCGTTGTGGCTGTCGATGCGGCTCCTGGGCTTGTATCGTGATAGCCCTGATACCGGTTGTACCAGTATTGATTTGGACTGGGAGGATAGCCCGGTGAGGGCTGCGCGTAGCTGGTACCATGCGACGAGGGTGGGACAGTCGCATGATGGGTGTATGGTGAGGAGTGAGCGCTGTATTCTCCTGAGCCTGACCCGGAGTCGGGGTTGAGAAGGTTGTCGATTCTCATTGCCATTATGGTTTCGTAGTATTGTTGGTTTCCCTTTTGTGTTGTGTCTCCTTTGCCTATACTGGCACTGCCAGTGAGTTGATTGGGGTTGTGTTTCTTTGTTGTCGCAGATTTATAGATCTTGTGGGGATTTAATTTTTACACCTTCACTCCAACCTCGTGCTCAGGTAGGAGAGAATAGCAGGTGTAGCAGCAACGGCAACAACAGGAATAGTAACAGCGACAGTAAGCTTAGAGCTGACTTGA